TTGCTCTCATCTGGCAAGGACAATAAGACCATTGTATGGAACCCACACACCGCAGAGCGTTATGGAGAACTGCCCGAGGTTACCAACTGGACTTTCCAAACTCTTTTCCACCCTCACAATCCGAATCTGTCAGCTACCGCGAGCTTTGACGGCAAGATTACCATCCAAACCCTCCAAAACACGAATCCCGATACGTCGCAGGCAGTCAACGAGAAGCCTTTGGATGACGAGGAATTCTTTAGAGCTGCTCAGACCCAACCCCAGGGAGCCTCTTGGTCATTGAGCAAAGCGCCCAAGTGGTTCGAACGACCCATTGGTGCCTCTTTTGGCTTTGGTGGTAAACTCGTCATTTTCAGGGAATCTCCAGCTCAAGCCGGCCAGAAACGCTCGTCAAAGCTATCAATCTCTCAGTTTTCTGCCGATTCAGATGTTTCATCTGCTATTGAAAAGTTTCAAGAGGCTCTGGCCTCTGGTGATCTAGCCAGCCTTTGCGAAGAGAGAAAGGAACAAGCCCAAACTGACGAGGAGAAGGCGGACTGGACAGTTATAGAGACGCTGGTCGGCGAAAACCCTCGGTCAAAAATCGTTGAGCATCTTGGGTTTAAGGAAGAAGATCTGGCAAACGGGACAACCGAAGCGACCGAAGGAGAAGAAAAGGAGACGGCTACGAAACAGGAGGAAGCCACTGACGCGGAAGGCAAGCCGAGACGCCTATCCAACTTCTTTGGCGAAGGTGAGGGCGAGGGAGATGACTTCCTCTCTGGCCTAGCCGCCAACAAGGGCGCCAAGACCGACAACCCTTTCCATCTTTTCAGTGATGATGATTCGTCCGTCGAGAAAGAGATTACAAAGGCTCTGATGCTGGGCAATTTTGCCAAAGCCACTGATATCTGCTTAAAGGAAGATCGGATCGCAGATGCCTTCCTCATTGCCAACTGTGGCGGCCAGGAACTTGTTGAAAAAGTCCAATCCGCCTACCTTGCTCGTAAGAGCGGCACTCCCAGCTACCTGCGACTCATCAGCTCGGTTGTCGATAAGAACTTATGGGACGTTGTCTACAACGCAGATCTCAACAACTGGAAGGAGACTATGGCCATCATCTGCACATTCTCTGACCCTCTTGAATTCCCAGATCTGTGCGAGGCCCTTGGTGACCGTATTAACGAGCACGGCCTGCGAAAGGACGCTTCGTTCTGCTACCTCGTAGGCTCCAAGCTTGAGAAGGTTGTTGCCATCTGGGTAGATGAGCTCAATGAGTCGGAGCAAGCTGGGATGAAGGAAGAGTCCAACGACTCAACTTTCTCAGTGCACACTAAATCACTGCAGACCTTCATCGAGAAGGTTACCGTCTTCCGTCAGGTCGCCAAGTTCCAAGACAAGGAACTGACTCAGACGGCTGACTGGAAGCTAGCCACTCTCTATGACAAGTACACTGAATATGCAGAGATACTGGCTGGCCAAGGCAAGTTGGAAGTCGCTCAAAAGTATATCGATTTGCTACCAGCCAACTACCCGGCTGCCGAGCTGACCAAGAGCCGAGTGAAGCTTGCAACGCAAAAGAAGCCTGCCGCCGCACCAGTCTCCGCGGCTCGCAGAACGCCATCCGTTACTACTGGAGCACAGTCATCTGTAGTAGGCTATCAACCTCCTCAGCCTGCCCCTATCTCGGCGCCTACGAATCTCTATAGCGGGCTACAGCAAAGTTCTCCGGCTGTCTCTACGGCTCAACAGTATAAGCCTCCGGTCAACCCTTACACACCTCAGGGCTACCAACCTCAAGGATACCAGCCTCCGAACCAATTCTCCTATACTGGAACGCCTGTCGCACCGCCACCAATCGGTGCTCCCCCCAGAAACTCAACGCCATCAGCTCCTCCGCCATCAAAGGCCAAGAACATGGAGAACTGGAATGATGTACCGGTAGTTACAAAGGTAGCGCCACGAAGAGCGACTCCCAGCGCAACACCCATTACATCGCCCTTCTCGGGTCAACAGGGCCAGGTTGCGCCTCCCCCTCCTCCGTCGTCGACATCACCTTACGGACCAGGTGCTAGGGCTAGTCCTCCACCACCTCCCAGAGGACCAGCTCCCCCGAGAGTTCAGTCTCCATTAGCTGGACCGCCTCGAACTTCTTCTGCGGCGGCTAACCAATATGCTCCGCCAGCTCCTGCAGTTGGTTCGATTCCAATCCATCCAGGTCCTCCAGCTATGCCACGCACGGCTTCGCCATATAACGCTCCTCCCTCTGGGGCTCCACCTTCAAACAGGTACGCACCGGCGGCGGCAGCCCAACAGCAGCCTGGGCAATACTCTGGCTCCCCTGTGCCACCACCTCCCGGCTCATTCAACCGACCCCCGCCGTCTGCAAACGCCTATGCACCACCAGTTCAACAGCAAGCAGCGGCTCCCAGCCCGTATGCTCCGTCGCCTTATGCTCCGTCCCCCTACGCTCCTGCGCCTGGACAGGTACCAGCCACTCAGCCACCCCCAACAGGACCTCCGATGGGAGGACCTCCGATGGGTCGGCCTGGGCCCCCGCCCGGTGCTGTGTCTGCTCCACCACCTCCCAAACAAACTCCACCACCTCCGGCGGCAGCAAAGTATCCTCCTGGAGACCGATCGCATATTCCAGCTAACGCTCAGCCGTTGGTGGATATTCTGAGCCAGGATATGCAACGGGTAGCCTCGAAGGCTCCGGCGACATTTGCCCCTCAAGTCAAAGATACGCAGAAGCGTTTGAATATCTTGTTTGACCACTTGAACAACGAGGAGCTTATCCAGCCATCGACAATTGAACAGCTATCGCAGCTAGCCGAAGCAATTCAGGCGAAGGACTACGCTACAGCTCAAAAGCTACAGATGGAAATCAATCGGGATAAGACGGATGAATGTGGTAACTGGATGGTAAGTCATATTTAGCCAAGCTCCATGATAGCATGCACATTTTACTAACTTTATTTGTTACAGGTTGGAGTTAAACGACTTATCAGCATGAGCAAGGCAACTCCCTAATTGAAGAAAACTGATGTCTCATATGGAGGGCTATAGTATTTTACTCGGCAAATTGTATTGGCGGCATCAAGTTGATGGGTCATGTAAGGCATGTATTAAAACCGCGGGCGGCATGACTGGTTAGATATATATAAATGATGATTGGTGATACCAAGTGAAAGGGAATTCGACGTGCAATAATCTTGATGGTTCTTGTGGTTCCGCGTCACAGATATTTTAGGTCGATATCCTGATCAGCTATGACGCTGAGTGTTTCTAACATGTGTAAAGCTTCATTATGATACATGCAGTAATAGTAGGGGGTGCGATCATCATAGTTATGTCTAGAGGCTACGAAGATATAAACGAACCGAAGTTTTTCTAGCAAAGAAGATTAAAGTCCTACGGATATATGTTTTCCTCTCTGCCCCTTTTTAGACGCAAGGTACTCGGTGTAATGGAAAACGGATTAGAAACAAAGAAGAACTAAATCACTTAAGTAATAGTATTTCAAACTCAAATAACATGTTAGCGCCATGATGTATGGAAATAATAGGACTTACGGGCCGCTTGTCTCGATCAGACAGCGACCGAGCTTCTGCCCTGGATCCAGGATCGATATCGCGATTGCTGATGGGGACAGCCCGGAGGCGGCCAAGGAGCCGACCGACTTCGCAGTTCGCCACCGCGCGAAAAGAGAGGGTTTTGGGGCTGCCATCCTAACACCCTGGGCCGGGCTCAAGCATCTGTCTTGGCAGCCGAGTTTGTGCATGCCAGACAATCTTAGGGTATCAAGATCGCCAGAAAGTCGGGATCTTGTTACTAGGCTCTTTAGTCTTGGATAGTTGGCTATGTTATTACCTTATAATTAGCAATCTCTGGTAGCCTCTATAGCAGTTGAAATCGTATTGTTCTTACTTACCCATTTACGTCGCAGATAAACTGTCATTTGGCTGCTTTGCCTTAGATGCTCTTTGTCGGGGAAACTTCGGTATAACAGCTATCTTCACTTCGCTCACCACCATGGCGAAGTTTTAAGACGGTCACTCAAGCTATCCATCTCTCAAAAGCCGAGCTTATCACTCTCTCCAATTTTCTTTCTCTTTACCCCTCGTTTCAACAGTCAAAAGACAATTGAGAAAACAATGACTGACGCCGCTCGCTGGAAGGCCACAGTCCACGTCGGCGGGCTCTCACAGCTTGCTACAAGCACACATGTGTTTGATGCCTTTATCCCTTTCGGCGACATCGTGGAGGTGCAGGTCCCCAAGGCGGACGCGCCAAACTCTACGGATCCTCACAAGGGCTTTGCATATGTGGAGTTTGAGGACAGTGCAGACGCCAAAGAGGCCATTGACAACATGGACCAGTCTGAGTTCTTTGGAAAGGTGATCAAGGTGTCGCCGGCCAGGGCGCCAAAGAGTGCGGATGAAGGACTGGGAAGCAGAAAGGCGATTTGGGAACAGGTACGGCTGCTTGGATTTTCTTTTCTTTTCTTTTCTTTTTCATCTTCTATTTTCTCTCTTTCTACCTTTTGATATTTACAGAATGATGCTAATACTTTTATGTTTGCAGGAGAGCTGGCTTGCTGAGCACGCGGCAGAGGATGATGTCGCGAATCAGGCAATCCTTGAGGAGCCAGCTTCGGATCCTATGCAAGGACTCGAGGGGCTGGATGTTGCAGGGCCAAAACCGGAATGATCTTCTAAGGGGCTATATGTGGATTTTGACTTGGAAGAGGGCTATACGGGCTTTACTTGAATGTTTTTGCATAGCGACGGTGTTTAGAGGGACCATGTCATGGATACAGTATTCTTTTTTACATGAATGGGAAATTAAGGTTTAGGAACAACATGCAAACTGTGTTTCTCATCGGCGCTCTGTCCTAACTGTTCTCGACATATACAGTATTGATTCCTCCAATCTGAAGCCCTAAGCAAACGCGGTAAAAGATGACACAGGCGAGGACATTGCTCTTCGAAAAAAAGTTGAACAATCTTTTTGGTAGCTTAGTGATCGCCGTGGCTCTCGTTCTGGGCGGCGCGAGCGGCAGCGCCCTGTCGGGAGAGACGCAGGTTCTTGTCGACGAAGAATTTGCGGCTGCAGGAGTAGGCAGCGGCACCAAGGGCAAAACCGACGACGACGACTAAAGACGAGTTGTTTTCACATGTTAGAGAATCGAGTATCCTTGGCGCGGGGGAGGAGAGAGCTGGTGAGTCTTTTCGTACAGAGGGGGTACAGCTCAGCGGGCATCTGCTTGAGCTTGCGAAGGCGCTGGGAGACGGTGTGGCCTTGAATTAAAATCGTCAGTAATGGTCGCCGGGGTTGTCGCAGTGCTCGGCGAGCATCAATTGGCGTCACATACCGGCCTGGTCCTCCTTCTATAACCGCCAAAAGGTTAGCCGGATCTCGAATCTTTTTTACGGGCTCGTCTCTTTAAACAGCTGCACTTACGGGGATGGGTCGCATCATGCGAGCCGTGGGGCGGAAGGCCCGAAGAGCAAGAGTAGGACGCATTGTGATGAGCGGAGAGGGCTTCGGCCGAGATGCTTCGAGGCGATGGGATTGCAGCGGATTGCGAGGAAATGTTTGGTTCGAAGCGACGTGGGCCGAGCGAAAGGCAAGTATCTATCTCATGGTGTAATTCCCACATCAGCAAATTGGCCCACTTTCCTTTGCCCACCCCAAAGGCAGCCGGGTCCCATTGGCCGGGCGGGGGGCCTGAGGCACACATTTTCACCTCCGGAACATCTGATTCGGAAAGCTTGCCAACATTCGACGCATAGCGAAATCTCCCACCCCAAACCTCCACAGAGCGCCCGCCTTGAATCGCTCCCCATTGTCGCCTGCACAACACCCGTCCCGCCGCCAAACGCGAATCTAATTCATCATGTCCGACGAGGAAGGCCAGGAGCTTGTCACCAAGCCCTTCAAGTTTGTCACTGGTACGGCAAGACTTCAAAATATCCCCTCTCCAAAAAAGTGGTCTGATCTTGAGTTAACCCGAGGCTAACGGCGTTTTTGCAGCTGGTGAGACCGTCCCGATACAACTCCCTTAATACGTGAACGACGAAACGACCAGCTCGAGCAGCTCGATCAATTGCAGCGCCGCCGATTGCGAGCTGCCCGTGGCTTTGGGAATAGCTTCCCGGGATTTTTTTCCCGAAACGTCGCCGGAGGTCCCGCTGTTGGATATGTCGCTAACTTCGAATGCTTCTGCGCAGGCACTGATGCCCGTTTCCCCAACGTGAACCAGACCAAGCACTGCTGGCAGAACTACGTCGACTACCACAAGTGCATCATCGCCAAGGGAGAGGACTTTGCGCCTTGCCGTCAGGTACGGAGATTTGGGGGAACCTTGGATTTTAGGGCGGCATGCTGATCAATTGTGCAGTTCTGGTTGGCCTACCGATCACTGTGCCCCTCCGGATGGTACCAGCGATGGGACGAGCAGCGCGGTATGTTTCATTTATACGCAAATTTCTAGTTTTGAAGCTGACTTTCCCCTCGTGCAGAGGCTGGTAACTTCCCCGTGAAGCTTGATGCTTAAAGCTCATATTTAACTTGGCGGGGTATATATGTATGGGTGTTCACATAGAATAAGCAGCCAAGCTGCGCGTGTATTGCAAGAAAAAAATTAGTGGCCAATTCGCAAGCAATACGCTGAATCTTGTAGCGCTTTTTGTGAAATGGTAGTATTTTGTATTTACGCAACTGCAGACATGACGTACATGACGTGCATAGAGCTAGGATTACAAGCAGTGTACAAAAGAGGTATTTATATTAGCCATACTGGTATCTTATCAAATTGCCAACAGCGCCCGTATCCCAATGCTTAAACTATCCCAAACTCCATTTAATTGCTTCTCAAAATCACAACTTGCCCGATTATTCCCATTATGAAGACTTCTTCTCGCTCTCGTCCTCCGAATCAGAGCTCATGAATTCATCGTCATCGAATCCGAAAAACGTTCTTGGTTTCGCCTTGGAAGGTCCAGCAGCTTCTGCAGGAGGAGTAGCTTCCTTTGAGCTCTCGGAATCTTCTGCCTCGCTGGCAGATTGGCCATTGGTTTGCTCAGAAGAAGCAGAGCCGTGAGATGTGCTGATTAAGTTATCCTTGTAGTTTCCAGACTTCATGGCAGCCAGCACGGCATCACGAGTTCTCTCGTTGCTCTCTTCTTTGTCTTCAACCCACTGGCCGTCCAGCTTACCCCTGCCGCCAGACTTGATCTCTGCCTCTCTCTTTTCTGCCATATCCACAATCTCTTCCCAGCGCTGGCGTCGCCTCTCCCTCTCCTTTTGCTCCATTTCCGGTTTGATGGCGAGATATTCGGCAAGAGCTTTGGCTTCATTAACAGTGCGCAGTCGTCTACCGTCCAAGTTTCGGCTTGAGCCGCTATCGTCTTGCTTTTGCTTCTTGCGGGATGACATTCGGCCACCGGCAGCTCGGAGCTGAGATCCGAAACCACCCTTTCCACCGCAGAGGGGAATGGTGAGGCGCAGGTTGATGAAATCATCGTTATTTGAGGATAGGTATGTGGAGATTGGCGATTCTGATGTTTGGGGCAACAGCCGATTTGAGTGTGTTGTGAGGATGAATTTGGATTCGGTGGCGCCGGTAGGTATCTTCTCATCGATGAGGTCTCGTAGGCAGGTGATTGTGGTAGATGGAGGCGCGCGCAAGACCAGGGTTGGCGGAAGGCCAAGACCCTTGAAGGTCGAGATGAGGACGTTGAGATGCTCGCTCATTGTTGCGAGGTGATGGATACGGTGATGCGATCGCTGTAAAACTGCAAAGACAAGCAGAGGTGGAATGAATGATGTCGGCGCGTTGAGATACGAGGGCCCAGACGCTTATGATACGGTCCGTTGCCAGTAGTAGGTTAAGGACTCGGAATTCGGTCGCTGTTGTGGCGATATCCTGGTAAGAAGTTTGCGATGCAGAATGCCGTGATCCTTCTGCACCCGTAGAGAACATAATAGCGGCGGCAACAGTCAGCGCAAAGCCCGTCATGTGAGCGCGCGGCCTGCGCCACACTTCCCGCGCCGCCAGCGCTCGCTATCGACGCACGCCTATCGACACGTGACTCAAGCCACAACGCACACTTTCGAGGCACCCCACTTCGCTAGGTGGAATTTCTGGTAGGGCTTCCGCCCACAAAAGTTATCCAATTCGAGATCTTTGGTTTTGTACGCCTGTCCGCAAATCCGTCAACTTTCCAACATCGACCCTCCGAGCAGCAACCGCCACGATGTTGATTCCCAAGGCCGACCGCAAGAAGATTCACGAGGTATTTTTCGACGATGAGAGGCATTCCCGAGTGCGAGCTTGAGGAATTGCTGCAAGAAAACTACAGAGTCCGGGTGTCACTGACAATTGTCTGGTAGTACCTCTTCCGCGAGGGTGTCCTCGTCGCGCAGAAGGACTTCAACCTCCCCAAGCACCCCGATATTGACACCAAGAACCTGTTCGTCATTAAGGCTGCTCAGTCCCTCACTTCCCGCGGCTATGTAAAGACCCAGTTCAGCTGGCAATACTACTACTACACCCTGACCCCCGAGGGTCTCGACTACCTCCGGGAATGGCTTCACCTGCCTGCCGAGATCGTTCCTGCTACCCACATCAAGCAGCAGCGATCACACGCTCCTCCCCGTGGCATGCTCGGCGAGGGCGAGCGTGAGCGACGACCTTTCGGCCGTGGACGTGGCGGCGACCGTGGTGACCGTGAGGGTGGATACCGAAGAAGGGATGCTGGTGAGGGCAAGGAGGGTGGTGCTCCCGGCGAGTTTGCTCCTCAATTGTAAGCATTCTCTTCTCTTTTCTTCAGATGATGGATCTTCTACGGCTTGAACTTGGAGATCGATTTGGGGACATTGGCTAACTTTTTTCTTCTCTACAGCCGTGGTGGCTTTGGCCGTGGACGTGGTGCTGCTCCTCCTTCCTAAACGAATTCTGTCTCTTTCGGGGTTAACACATTCTTATGATGCATGGCGCATTAAGACAACGGCATGTAGTCTAAAAAACGTGAGGCAATCCTCACCATGAGTCCACTCATGAAGAAAATTGGGACGTGAGGGGGGATATCGTGGGAGTTCTTGGAGGTTAGATCCTCGGAAATCATTTGCATCAGGGTCAATGTTTGCCATCAACGAGATAATTTTCTTTTATGCTTACATGTGAGACGTGCACTCTGGTGAAGGGATCATTGAATATGTCAATATGTCGAGTGAAAGAAAAGAACCTGAAGAATGGGTGATTGGGCCGATCCCGCTCCCAGGAGCACCGGCAGATATTGAAGAGGGTGATGGAGAGTTGAAAATGGCTCAATTGATATCCTTCCTCGCCTCAATATTGCAGAACATATGCAAAGTGATCTTCGAAGCTCTTGTCCAATGATCTCATATTACTTTTTGCCACTCCCATCTGCATCACACGGCGACAGCATCTCAAAAGACATCATCGATCCTCAATTTATTGCGAGCTGTAGTACTTTACCGCTCCCGTGTGCCAATGGAACTCGAGCATTTATATTACAGCAATCCCAGTAGCTGCTTGCTAGTCTTGCTAGCCGAGCACCTATTATTCCTAGTGCCATAAGGGTGTCAATGCTAGCTGCACAAGATGCTTGTTGCATGATATATCTAACATATAGGTTTCCAACTCCAACAAAACCGCATAAGAGGAGACCATAGATTTTTGAGTACAGTATAGTGAAGCAAGCCTAGTATAATTGTAAACATTTAAGAGAGATTTTCAGCATTGTCAATTATTTTAGTGACTACATACTCTCTTTATTTTTAGTGACCGTAAATAGGTAGGCAGTCACATCTATATAAGTCCAGGTTATTGATGTGAGTCTTGTAACCGGCGTGTCTTTTCTCGGCCCTGAGTTACCAGCCACGGCTGTGTTAATTACGCAAAGAAAATAATAGGTAGCGTCGCTTCTATAGGCCATAAGGAGAAGGTTTACTGTCTTGATTTCGCCATCGGGACTCAGCTCTGCAGCGGATACAAGAAACGGAGGGGCGAAATGTCGCCAGCCGCACCAGCTGCCAGGTGAATGCTTCCAAATCTCGCCTCATAAGTAAGCCATTTGCGCTTCTTTTTCTGTTTTTCTCTTCTCTTTTCTTTTCCAACAAATGTTCAGCACACAAGCGAATGCTACAGCGGAAAAGTACTAGAGCGGAGCTATAAGCAGCGAATGAGATCTTTCTCTCTCTTTCATCTGGAACTCAGCCTTTGTCGGGTCAACCGAAAGGTTCGTGCCAAGAAATAATACCGAGACATTGTTTCTAGTCTAATGTTCACCTTCAGCCGGATACATTAGAGGAGTAGAACGTTCCTACAATGGAACTGGTCTATGGCGATGAGGAGGTGGAAGGCAGCTTAAACGTCGACCGACTACGCATACTCAGCCGTTCTCTGAAGTGAGCTGGATCATCTGCTGACGCATCTATTTACAGCTATTCGTCGCTGACCTGAGTTAATAGATCTTTCTATTTTGAGATTGAGGGCAAAGTGAGCCCTGATTTTGAAATCGGTTGGGTTTCTGCTATCAAGATTATCTTCGAATATGACGGTCATTCAATCGGTACAACTACCGTGTCAGATATGCCAATGGTATTGGATGATGAACATTATTGAGAACCGAGTGGAGTGAAGAACAGGCGCCCGAAGTGCAAATTCAAAGCATGCGAGCATTCCAAGCTTTTTTACGGGGCGTTATGCCAAAGAAGAACGCCGATACTCCGTTGAACATCCAAAATACTACCGTCGCTCATATAAGCGTCTCCCCAAGCGGGCACACTCTTAAGATATATCTGGATCTAAGCTGCATGGCGAGAATGAGAGCAACTGTAACAAGCCTCGAAATCCATGGCGGCGAAATCAGCATCACAATGAAGATAACAAATTTGAGTTCTCTTGAGCTCTTGTTTGATCAGGAAGGCACTTTCCTACTGAAAAAGGGTCAACAGACCGTTGGAGAATTGAGCGGATGTCTCGATATTGTTCCAGGTGAATTCGAGGCCGACTTCGAAGGATACATTCAAAGCGGGGTTTCTGGAATGGTAACTCTAAAAGGGTATCATTATGAGGACATGGATAGATCTTGGCAAGAATATGCTATCAAGCTATTCGAGGTTGAAGTCAACTTGGATGAGATGGATGTTGATGGCAACACTGTTGATATTGCTGACCGTGGCGAACATTTGCTCCCTACTCGGTCAAAATGATACGCAGTTGCGAAGATTGTTATTCTTGGGTTTTGATTATCTATCAATCGTTGGTTTCGGGAGGAGAAGGCTCTAAAGCAAATAGCTGAACAATCTCAATAGAATATTGGAGCAATAGTTACTATGAACCATGATACGTTTAAGATAAAAGCTCTGTAATACTGTGAACATAGTTTTAATAATTTATAAATCTAATAACAATCAAGAAAGACATATATTTTACCTACACCAAAGTATATCAGCCTGGCCAAGGCTATGAGAAGTTATGCAGTGGAGAGTCGTCAGCTATTTGCTAGACCGCTAGTCGGAGAGAGCACAGTTGCCGGCTGCGAGGGAATCCTATAAACCAACTCCTCACGAGCACACAAACCTCTTTCTTTCTCTTCTCTTTTTCTTTCTTCTCAACAACAGGCGGCGGGAGATTCTCCAACAAACAACTTGACTTGCCTACCTATATAGCAACAAGTGAAAGCACTGCTTCTGTTTTTCCTACCTTTAATGAGCAAAAAGGCAAGTTTGAAAGCTTTTGGCTTGCCAGAAACGACGACTCTTGAATATCTCATTTGAATTATAGCGGCGGATCATCTCTTTAGCATTCAGGTTGACTGAATCATCATGGAGATGCTTCCGGTAAAAGGGTGTGTGGAAATTACATCCATTGATTTCTTCAATCCTACTAAGAAGTTCGTGTCCCTGTTTATCCATCTCATTCGACAACCCGTGATTTGAGTTCCAAAACTTACCAGCTACAGAACCGTCGATCTTCATGCGGGTATCAAATTCGGCCCTGATGTTGACCTCGGCTGGACTAGTTCCACGACGGTGTCTCTGCATTACGGCTCGCTCTTGGTTGGAGAGGTAAAATTCAACGATACCTATATCAAACCTAACGAATCCAATGAAACAACCTTGACGCTCACAAAATTCGAGATTTGGAGTATGCATGGGTTTAAGGCTTTCATTCCACGCGTTGTACCTCGGTCCAGAGGTGAATATGAACAACAAAATGGAGGGCCTACTGTTTCCCTTGAGATGGATAAGCGAGGTCATCAGCTTTCCATGTCTATAGACCTGGACGCAATGGGGTTTGCCAAAGCTCTTGAACCTAGAGTTCGCCGAATTGACGACAGCCTTGCAATCGACTTCTTCATAGAAAATTCGACTAAAGTCGAGCTTCTCTTCAGTCAAGCTTATTTCATACTTGAACAAAATGGCTGTACCTTGGCTAAATTAGGGGGTGTCCTTAACATCACGTCGTGGGAAGAGAGGAAGGAAGTTGGTGTGGAAGGGTCCATTCCTTCAGATACTACGCTTAATGGCAAGGCAATTTTGAAAGGAGTTGGTGTGGAGGATGAGGATAGACATTCCTGGTATATCCATGCCATTCGGCTATTCGAAATGGAAGTTGATTTGGACGCAATCATCTATGGCGAGCGTTATTCGCCAAGGGAATGAAAGCATGGCCATTGCGCTGCTGAGTTAAGATGGCGAGAATTTCGGCTGTTTCTTTGCAGTCAAACATGCTTCTTCAAATGGCAGGTAGTTCATTTACGCGGATCAATTATTTAGTTTTGTGTTCTAAGGAGCACTCATGGACAGTTCAGTTACGTATAGCTGCATCAATGACATTATGAGCGAACAACAGCACAACGCGGAATTCCAGTTACATGTGAAAATCGAACAGAGGCACCGCAGAGCTGTTGACGAGGTCAATTGCAGGTAGCCAGTGTGTAACAGCCTGTTGTAAAAAAGGGAAAAGTCAAGTGGATTTTGTAGAGTTGCATATCAGAAACTCCTTTTGAATATCCGAACGCAGATTAGCTTTATCGCCTGCATGAATGATGGCAGAAGACTGCTGGAATTGGATTTGGGGGCTGCAGCGGCACTTTTAGCCTCTAATGTCGGATCAGGCAAGAGTCTGGCGCTAGAACCCGCTAAGCGTCCGGAGTCTCAGGATGGCGTCAGGGGCCGGCCGGTATTTGATAAGCGCTGGAGGGGAAACAAAGTTCTGAGGAGCCTCGATCATGGGTTTTGCGGAGCAGCCTTGGGCCTCTGCCGCTTCATGCTGCTTTCTTTTGTCTCTTCCCATGATCAATTTCCCCATGTCTGGGACAGGGATGGACATGTTCAGTAATGGCGGGCCCATGCTTGATGCCATTGTTGTTTAATCTGTTTTACTCGTGCCTCTAACTGGGCCACGCACGTGCGCCTAAATCTTCAGGTCCCCGGCATTTCGACACCATCATCGTCAAGCAGAAATAATAGACTTCAACCCCCCTGTCAATCCAGCCATCAGCTCGCCGCCACGAACCGCTCGTACAGACGACGACTTCTCGACAAAAGCCATAAGCCACTAGTTTGCTACTTCTCGACATCCAGCCAGTGACGTCTCCATAACTCGCTTCATCAAACCAAAGGGGGCCGAGCCTCCCTAGGGCCCCTGGTCCTCATCATCGATCATCCCTGTGCGCTGTGCTTCACACAAGCATGAAGCACAGCTGCTAGTGCCTGTACTCGTATGCCTGGCGCAGCACTTGTACTTGGCTGTCCGTCTCCCGATCATACATCGACGCCTTCTGCCTTCTTCATACCCAGATGCGACTACCGCTGTCCTTTGCAGCCGCCAGAAGTAACAGCGTCGTATCAGAGATCTTTGACTTAAACGTTGGGCGCCTCAGCAACCGCAGACATGGCTCCCCCAGTTCCTGCTGTGACTACCCGACGCGGGTCTGAGCTTACTCCTCGAGACGAGACCGATATCATCAGCCGACTCCATTCAGACGCTCTCGATACACCCACTTCGCTGAGCGGACGACTTGGTATGCCCAAGACCACCCACTCGCGTGCGAAACCCGACTACAGCTCGGACGACTCCGATGCCGAATCTTCGCAGCAGAATCGCGGCCGCACATCAAACCACTCTCGCTCCATGAGCAACCCATTCCCGTCGCTCTTTGGCAGCCGCAAGAGGCAAGGCTCGGCATCAAAGCCCTCTGTCGACGTGGGCAAGGCGAACGTAGGCCCTGCCTCGAACAAGCAGGCGAATACGCATAGACGAGGAAGTCCTGCCAGGAGCCGGGACTTTGCCACTGGCAACTGTATGACTTGTGCTTCTCTTGTAAAGTGGCCAAAGGATTTGAAGGTCTTCAAATGTACCATTTGTATGACCATCAATGACTTGGTTCCGATTAGTGTCGATAGCCAAAACTCGAGGCAGCGCCATGACAAAAGTCCAGGGCCATCAACTTCGAGACAACCGCCAGTTTCTCCGGGCATAGCACCAATACAAAGCCCCAGGAAGGGTAGTTTTGGCCATCTCACTCTGCCTATCTCTCTCGACCAAACCAAGCATCTGGCCAGGCACAATCTGCGATCCTATGTACTCAGGAGGCTTCGCGGCATGTCAGATAAAGCTGTAACTGAGCAGGCTTGCGATGATCGACCTTCATACCAAGATCGGCTCCATCCAGATCTTGCCGTACGTACCCGCGGGCCATTGGAAATTCCTCAGGGTAGGAAGGGTTCAATTACCAATGATACATTCAGCGAGGACCCAACGCTGCATCACGGGTCCCCGAGAAGTAATCCTCCGATTGCTATGTCCAGATCATATCCCTCTTCTCCCTCCGAGCAGCCTGGCCAGAAAGCCCCGCCACACAGCAATTATGCCGGCCAGCGATCACGAGATCGGTCTGCTGGTCAGACTGATGACCCTAGAAAGATATTTAAACCATTAGAAGATTACATTACGAGCTGTTTCAGTAACTTTGAATGTGTCAATTCTTCCTTTTCCACCCAACATCCTCGGTATGCCTCGAGATCTACAAGCGATACTCCCCGGCGGCCGTCAGTCCCCTTCAAAGATACACGACAACCAACAGCGATGAAGAGTGCGCCTCGTAGGCCATCTCAGATGGAGGTTGACTCTCCTATATTTGACTTGGATCCAAGGCTGCTAATGCTTGGCGACGTTGCGGAAAACGGGCTGTGGTGGACTGGGCAGGACAGTGTGGCTCCTAAGAAAAATCCTACTAAAGAGGAGCCAACCCATGTTCATCGGCCACCTCCGTTAACGAAATCACCACAACTCAACTGGGCCGATATCGATGAGTGGTATTCGATTGTGAACAATGCTGCAGAGGACTGGTTCAAAATGTTTGAAGAAGTCTCAGGAGATCTTTCTCTGGGCAGTCTTGCCGAACAGGAGCTTCTTGCTATTGAGCAGGATGTCCTCAAAGGGCAGGCTCATCTTCAGCGAGTGCTGCTTAAAGTTACAGAAAATCTGCTCAAAAGACCCGGGCGTCCGATTAAAGATCCAATGGATCTACGGTTCCTCCTAGTTATCATGGAGAACCCGTCCCTATATGCGGAGAATGAAAATTACCATGGAGTACTCCAATTAGAAGGAAGCAAGTCTATGCGATCGAGACGAATGCCATCGAAAGATTCTATGGGAAACTCTGGCCCCATATCAGGACAACATTCCGGTATCATCAAGCGTATAGTGGGATTGATCTCGAATTCATCGGCAGAGTGTCAGAATCAAATGGTAACTTGGCTGGCTAGATATCATGCCCCACGCTTTATCAAAGTGAAAGAACTTGTATCAGGATTCTTGACCTACAGGATGATTCGACAAAGCGAAAAGAAGCAAGCTGACCAGTCGGTTGATCTGACGGCCGGATTGATACCGCAAATGCAATATGGACGAAATGGTGGTGCGTCTCTTCATGCTGCGATAGGCGGCCCGAGACCTGCGAAGAAGTCGAAAGAGCCGATCAAAAAGATATCCTATTCAGATGACTGGCAGATCAAAGCTGCATCCCGCGTTCTTTCTCTATTGTTTTCTGCAAATAACTTTTTGCCTACTCGTCGCGGGGAAGACGCTCACCCTAATGGCACGGTCACTTGGAATGGGACCAGCCGTGATACCGGTTACTTTTTGCCGCCCACTGATTTTTACAATTCCATGATTGATTATGCCGATCTTATTGACGACTTTGAGTCTTGGGAGTCTAAGAGGAGCAAGTTTTCTTTCTGCCAGTATCCCTTCCTTTTGAGCATATGGGCCAAGACTCACATCTTAGAGCATGATGCCCGTCGGCAAATGCAGAGCAAAGCGCGAGATGCTTTCTTTGATAGTATTATGACTCGAAGAAACATCAACCAATACTTGTTTCTCGATATCCGCCGAAATTGCCTTGTTGATGACAGTTTAACAGCAGTAAGCAGCGTCATTGGCAGTGGTGGTGAAGATCTGAAGAAAGGTCTACGCATTTCATTTCAGGGGGAGGAAGGAATCGACGCAGGCGGCCTTCGTAAAGAATGGTTCTTACTCCTCGTCCGTGAAGTGTTCAACCCCGACTATGGTAAGAGAGATCCTCGTATACGATTCGTTGATTAATCTATGTCTTTCATCTAACTCGGATATAGGAATGTTTATATATGATGACGACTCTCAATATTGCTACTTCAACCCTAACTCGTATGAACCTTCTGACCAGTTCTTCTTGGTTGGCGTTGTCATGGGTTTGGCTATTTACAACTCTACGATTTTGGATGTTGCTCTACCTCCATTTGCGTTCAGAAAACTTCTTGCATCAGCTCCTTCACTTGCTGGGACAATGCCACAGCAGCATCGACCGGTGATGAGATACACATTGGATGATTTATCTGAATATCGTCCGCGGTTAGCCAACGGTTTAAGGCAACTCTTAGCCTTTGATGGAGATGTCGAAGAGACGTTTTGCCTAGACTTTGTCATTGAAACTGACAAATATGGCTCCAAAGCACAAGTACCTCTCTGCCCTGGGGCCGAAAACAAACCCGTAACGAATGAAAATCGGCGAGAATATGTCGATCTCTATGTGCGATACGTACTTGACACAGCAGTCAAGCGACAGTTTGAGCCCTTCAAGAGAGGTTTCTACACGGTTTGTGGCGGCAATGCCTTTTCTCTTTTCCGGCCCGAAGAAATCGAACTCCTTATCAGGGGCTCCGATGAGTCCCTCGATATTGCGTCTCTGAGAGCCGTCGCAGAATATGATAACTGGGAGAGCAAGACCCCTGATGAAACAGAGCCGGTTGTTGGTTGGCTCTGGGAGACGTTCCAACAGGCTACCCCGAGTGATCAGCGCAAGCTGCTGACATTCATTACTGGCAGCGACCGCATACCAGCGATGGGAGCCGCCTCCCTGACAATCAAATTGTCTTGCCTGGGTGATGACTGTGGGAGATATCCTATTGCCAGGACATGTTTCAATATGCTCTCTCTCTGGCGTTATGAGTCAAAAGAAAAATTGGAGTATATGCTATGGAGAGCCGTTCATGAGAGCGAAGGTTTCGGTCTCAAATAAGCTCTGAGCAATCATCGACGATCCAGTATAGCAGTGGTGTTACACATTGGAAAATAGTATCTATAGCTCTGAAGTTCCAATTTGTCATGGGCCAGCCTGATGCTTCAGTTTCAAGTACATATTATTGTCACTGGCTAGAGTAGTTTTGGGCATCACATAGTATACCCTTGGATTATGTTTGTTTATCTTAGCCACATCGGGCGTCTGCGGTGCTTTTTTGGGGGATTTTAGCATATGTCATTATTTTACATCTGGCCCATAGGTCTTTTTCTCCTGGACGATACACATTGCCATATACTCAAAGACGCTTATCGTACAATTGTCTAACTTGATTCTTTTGTTTTTATGCCTCCTCTTGCTCTGCGATGCCACCCGCAGCTCTTGCTCGCTTCAGCATATCCTCTTCCTTCTTCTTCTCTAGTCTCAGCTGTCGTACACGCTCACGGTCCACATCGGCATTCTTTCTTAGTGTCTCGAGGGCCTGCATCTCGACAATCTCCTCGTTTGTAGGCTGCAGAGGAACAGCGCGGGTCTCGGCCATGAAGAACTCGAGGATGTGTGATGAGTGCTTGTTGGCCATGTCGATGTGCACGACGCGCTCGTCCGCGGTAGGGGGTTGCGCCTTAGATAGGTTCGTCCGGGATGATGAGGGCTGGGCGAGAGGTTCGGAAGAGGCGGGGGGTGAGGCGTCGGATTTGCGGAGGTAGATGGACATTATCGGGGGGAGCTGGTTCTGGTCGTGGCGGTTGACGATCATGGGGATGGAGGGGTTGTGGAATTTCAGGCGGGGGAGGTATTCTTTCCAGAATTTCCTGTTGAATTGCCTTTGTATTAGAGGTACAAGTCTTCTTACTTGGTATCGTGAGAGACATGAATTGGCACGAACCTAGCTCCCATGTGGCCGCCTTTCAAGCTGATGGCGAAGTCCATGTGTATCCGGGTGACCTCTGAGGGGAGGATTGCAGCGCCGGGGCCGCATTTTATGTTAATGAGCTGTTGAGTGAAACTGTAAGTCGAAGATCGCGATCAAGCGGCAGTAGTTGGAGGGGTTTGCATATATATTCATACTTTCTGTAGTAGCTCTTGGTTAGCGAACGATGCTGCAATGGTATATACGATGGAATTGAAGAAGTTACCTTTCGGAGCAGGTTTAACCGCTCTCCTAATGACCTCATTTTGAACTGTGTCTTTGCGCCTCGACCGCTGCGAGGACTCAATTACCGACAGGGATTGATGCGCAGCAATTATCGCAACTCTCAGTCAATCTGCATGCAATATCGTCCCAGAGCATAATCCCACTTCAAGAAAATCGCACCCGTTGGAGTCTGGCGGGCCGGCTAATCATCCGGCGCTCTTTCTTTTTTCTCATGGTGGGGTGGTACATGCGACAGTGGGGGACTGCACTGTCACTCACTGAGAACATAGAAGGTCATTTTTGGAAGGGTCATTTTTTTCAGGAAAAATTTTTAAGACTGAAATTTATGATTAACGAAAATTCATACGGTGAAGATGCATAGGGCTCTTACGGGACGTCTGCTTAGGCAGACATTGAGGGTAGGCGAAGCTGTACCTTCAGCAGGAGTGCCGCTGTATTTGTGTCCTGCAGTTGCAGGTCTTTCAAGCAGGCTCTCACGTATAAGTCTGGGAGCTGCAGCAAAGGTTTCTCAACGACGAACAAATCATACCGACACTATCACCAGCAATAATGAATCAGCGCCGCTGCCGTCGAAAATTTCGGATTCACCAATCAAAGCTGTGCGAAGATTGCCATTGACGTGTTCTGGGTGTGGCGCATTTACGCAAACTGAGGATCCAGAGCAGTTGGGATACCTGGATATTGATAAGAGGAGAGTAAGAGAATGGATGCACCCTCCCATACGACATCAAAGTCATTTGGAGGGCGATGAAGATAAGGCTGTCAGAGAGACACTTGGATCTTTAGATCAGAGCAGATTAAAAGAACTTGGTCTGGATCCTGCCATGCTTATGGAGGGTGGCGAGCCAGAGACTGAGGCCAAGAACGGTACGTTGACACTTTCAGCTTCAGGTTTAACATAGGATTTCGTACTAATTTTTGTACAGTCACTTCACAAAAAGCGCTCGTTTGCGACCGCTGTCATGATTTGCTACATCACAGTACCAAAGGCAACACTGCAAAGGTTACAATGTACCATCCGACAGTCGAATCTCTGCGCGAGACCATTGAAGAGTCGCCTCATAAGTACAATCACATCTATCACGTCATTGACGCCGCCGACTTCCCCATGTCTCTCATTCCACGACTTAATGTACTGCTGGGAGATGTCCCGCTACGCACGCGCAATCGACGGTCTCGAGCGGGCAAGTTTCAGCATGATCGCAAGACCGAGATGAGCTTCATCATTACCAGGAGCGATCTCTTGGGCCCAACTAAAGAGATGGTAGATGCCATGATGCCCTATCTAAAAGATGTTTTACGCCAGGCTTTGGGCAGAGTTGGTGAGCGGGTCCGTCTGGGAAACGTCAGGTGTGTCAGCGCGAGAAGGGGTTGGTGGACAACTACAGTCAAGGAAGATGTTTGGAACCGCGGTGGTGCTGGATGGATGGTGGGCAAAGTCAACGTTGGCAAAAGCCAGCTCTTTGAAGCCATCTATCCAAAGGGCAGGATGACCGAAAAGCCCGAGCGGGCTGGTGGATCAACACGCCAGAAGGAAGCCGCCACAACTAACTCAACGATGGATGAGAACGTCTTGGAAAGCGACGAAGGTCTAGCAACAATCAATCTAGGATCTCTGCTTCCACCTCCCCAACCGGCCAAGAACTACCCAGATATGCCCATTGTCTCATCCCTTCCTGGAACAACTGCATCTCCTATCCGTATTCCTTTCGGTAACGGCAGGGGAGAACTCATAGATCTACCTGGATTGGCCCGCAGTGATCTTGAGTTGTACGTGAAAGAGGAACATAGGCAGTCTCTTATCATGAAGAAGCGCATTGTTCCCGAGCAGATCACTGTCAAACCTGGAAGCTCTATTGTCCTCGGCGGAGGGTTGATTCGGATAACGCCACGGACACCAGACATGATTTTCCTAATGTATAATTTCACGCCACTCCACGAGCATCTTACGAACACGGATAAGGCTATCGAATTTCAAAATCAAACTCGCCAATCCATGGGTCTTGAAAACATCTCACTGCCGGATATTGGAGATAAGATGAAACATGCTGGCACATTCAAACTCGAACACGATGTAACCAAAAAGAGGGCTGGACCGTTGACCCGAAAGAACGCAATTGGGCTGAGTGTCGATACCCTTCCTTTCCGCGTGCTGTCTGTGGACATACTCATCGAGGGCGTTGGATATGTGGAGATTGTAGCTCAAGTTCGCAAGCGACACTTGGAGCGCATACTTGCCTCCCAAAATGCGCCGGCGGAAGTTCAGAAAGAGACGAAGCCCAAGGCGACGCCGCAGGATACCACCGACCCGTTTGCAGATATGTACAATATGAGGAGGGATATGTCTGTTGACGATAAGGCCGTGGAGCCAAAGGTTCAGCTGCAGCCCAAAGAGTCGCCAGAGTGGCCGGCCGTGGATGTCTACTCTCCGCTCGGCCAATTTGTGGGATCCAGACAGCCGATAAACGGGTGGCTGAACAATAAGCCACGAGAGACTGCGGACCAGAAGAAGAGCCGACCAAGGAGAAGTATGAAGGGGGCAAAGAAGCTGGAAAAGAAGCGAAGGGGCGAACACCAGGCTGCGTAGTTTGGTGTCACATGGCGGAAATGAATGAGTGTAACATTATCACCACTGCTGTACGATAATATTATGAGATATATATTATTATATGACCACATTTGAACAATATATAGACATAAATAGCAATACAAGCTGCAATAGAATGGATGCATAAATGTACACGCGAGGAAATGCCGGTTTTGGCCCATGTACCTGGATAGCATTGTAAGCGAGTGGTGTTTTTTGACGATACTTTCCCGATCTCGAGCATCGGTGACGCCACCTGACTAAAGACGCCGTGGGGCGCAACTTACCTGTTCCTAGCTCTCTTTTTTCTTTCCCGCCGATGACATCTGCGCATACAAAACCCGTCACACGACATCCATTTTCCGTTTCCTCTCCCAACCCCTCTACGCAAAAGATTTCTCTGTTCCGCATAATAGCGCATAAAGATTCCATGCGATAGTCTTCACTTTTGCTCGCGCGTTACTGCTAGACCCGCTCTAAACTATCAAGCAAGAAAGAACCAGGTTTCTTACAAAGCCTTGCGCCATGTCGCAACCGCAAGAGCGCGCCGCGCAGGCGCCCACAGCGTCACAAACAACCACACAAACCAATCCGCCACAGACAGCGCAGAGTGTGCCGAGAGTATTGCGGCTACGCGGAGGGAACAACTCGAATGGAAGATCGGTCCAGTGGGCACAAGACGTGGTTGACAACGAAGGGCTAGGAAGGAAAAGCTCCAAAGGTACGCATGACTGCAGGATATTCCTGATTATTGTATGCCCAAAGCTGTACCATATAATTGCTTTATTATCGGTATCGCTAGAGCGGAATGGTATACCTTTACAAAGGTGGAGATGATGCTAACAATACTTGTTCACTTAGTGTGCTGCATATACCACCGACCCAAGAAAGTCGATGAATCCAGCGACGAATCTTCATCGGACTCTTCATCCTCAGACTCAGATTCCGACTCAGAGCCGGAAAGAAAACGGAAAGTCGGCGGTGGAAAAGACGACTGCAACCACAATCATGATCATGATCATGGTCATGACCACGGCCATAGTCATAAGCGTGGCAGAAAAACGAATGGCAAGAAGAAGAGGACACCAAGCCCGAACGCCTACGAAAAGATACCCAAACAGAAGCCAAAAGATACGAAACAAGAGGATTCCAAATAGCATGCGATTCAACTACTCAGATGACTGCGCTGCAGCTGGATTGGATTCAGATGGATCGATTTTTTCAAAAGGCTCAAAGGGTACATGCTTCTTTTTTCTTCTTCTTTTTTTTTCTTCTTTGTTATGTTTCAGGATTGATATTAGCATGGTTTCAAGAGTTTAGGAATTAGGGAAATTTGTTTATTGCTTGTCATCAAGGGTATCATTGCAAGACAGAAAATGCTGGGTAAGCCAAGGCAAATACACCCCAAGCATATATCGAAATATATACAATAGGGCTGAAAACGCCCTACCCAACCAAAAAGTGTCACTCAAGGTTCTCCGGCCTCGGCCTTCTTCCCACTCTCAACAACAAAATACTTTCCGGCTTTCCTTGACGCCGTACCCAAGGCATCCCAGTTCTCATCTTCAGACTGGATCTGTTCCTTGACTCTACGAGGCCGTTGGTAGTGCCCCACGAGGGCCTCTTTGGCTAATGTATCCTTGAGATCGTCCAAGCCAATGGTATTCTCCTTGATGGCAGCTTCGGTCTCATCCCTGATGGCTCTAAGAGGCTCTACTCCTGTGGTATCGACTCTTTGTACAGCCCGCGCGAATTGCAACTGGCTCTGGAGTGTCTCAATCATTGACTGCTCTTCGGCGGAAGATTTGGGCAAGGGAAGAGCTGATAGACGCAAGAGATGATGAAGCTGAGCGGGAGTGATGGTTTCTGGAGACTCCGCATGCTCAGCATGTGACTGAGACGGAAGTAGAGAGCTCACAGACCAGGTTGGCTTGGAGAGGATGTCTTGAGCTGTTGAAGATGGCGAGGCTTTGTATGATAGAGGAGCTGAGATGATTCTTGGATGAGGCCGAAGACGAAGATGAAGGCTCTTCCTCAGGCATCTAGAACAGAGTGACATTGTAGCGATTGATTATAACACACAGTATTATCCAGGAAATATCAGATCAGCTTCTAGAAGCTGAGGATTTGCCGGCATGAACGATTCAGTGAGAGTGGCGTGTATAATGAATAGGTGTACAATTTTGTCCATGTGCCGATCCAGAGGTGTCAAAATCGGCTTAGGCCAGATCCGGCCTTATCCGACACCAGCTGCTTCAGTGCTTCGCCCCCCACCTCAGCAGCGTCATAGGCTCCAGGTCACGCCTAACAGGGCGCTGTGGCAGTTACTAACCTCCAGTTGAGCGCAATCGCCTTTCTTAACACGACTCCATCTTACTACTACATCAAGCGCTTCTCCTCTACACGACTTTAATACCCATTTGCACATACAAACATCGACATCATGGAAGATCCCCAGGCTCTAATCCAGCAGGTACGCCTCTCTTCCTTGTCTTCCAGCTCGCAGCGCCCGCTCTCGGAAGATGGCAGAGAAGCCATGGCTAACGTTCCAACTTGACAGGCCGAGAAGCTCGTATCAAAGGGCAGCGGTGGCTGGAGCTTCCTGGGCGGCTCGGACGACAAATTCTGGGACGCTGCTCGATTATTCAAGGAGGCAGCTCAGGCATACGAGCGACAGGGCCAGAGTACGCTTCAACCATGTTCCTCCACCACGAGAGAGACCCTCTATGAGATCATAAAGGATCTGTTGCTCTCTAACACAATCTCTTACATCGACTAACTTTTGCGCCCCTTTCTTCCCAGATATCGAGGCCGGCAAGACATACGAACGAGCCGCCGCCGTACGAGAGAAGAACCTCAAAGAACTGGGCGACGCTGCGGACAGCTACGTCGAGGCCTCCGACGCCTACCGAAGAGATGATCCCGAGGCGGCGATCCGATGCCGAGAAAGGGCCTTTGCTCTGATCCAACAGTCGACCAGCGAGAGCAAGCAGACGAGGCTGTCTAGAGTCAAGGAGATCCTTGGTCAGATTTATGAGCATGACCTGAAGGACCTGAAGAGGGCGCGCGAGGCCTACAAGGAGGCTGCTGAGCGGCTACCGAAGGCGAGAGAACTGTGCGTCTATCTTCAATACAGCATCTATTTGATGACGCCGTTTTTTTCAAATAACTACATTATGGTCTGGTTGAGCTAACAAGCTACGCTTCTATAGGAATGCCAATAAGCTATTCACCCAATACGCCGATCTCGCCGCCCTCGACGAGGACTACTACGTCGCCATCGAAACCTACGATCGCATCATCAACTCCATGATTGGCAACCAGACCATGAAATGGAGTCTCTCCACCTACTGCTTCAAGGCCGGCGTCTGCCACCTCGCCACCGGCGACCTGGTCGGCACCCGCCGCGCCGTCGAGAGCTACCGCCAAAAGGACGCCGAGTTCTCCTCCCAGTACAAGTACAAGCTGATTGAGGATCTGTGCGGCGCCGTCGAGGCCCACGACCAGGATCAGTTTGGCGAGCTCTTGTTCCAGTTTGATCGTACGAGCAGGCTGGAGCCGTGGATGACAGCGATCCTGGTCAAGGTGAAGAATGCCATTGAGGCGCCTGATGATGAGTTTGCGTAAAGTTGAATAGAGAGGAGGGAAATGATGAACATTGGAATTCTGGGGAAGAAAGAACAGAAGAATGTGTAGCGTTTAAGAAGAGAAATCACTAAGCAAATGAGGGGTTTGGGTTCATGGGCAGCTTGTCTGGCTTCAACTAATCAGGATGTACACGTGTTGTCTTATTTATTTGTTGGTTTGTTCCTTTCTTGGTCCGTCATTAGGTACATATACTCAAGGCCATCAGCCACAAGCCACAAGTCCTCATTTGACCTATCAAATCAAAACAACAACGGGAATGAGGACTCTTTTTCTCACTTATTAGGAAGATTGCGCACACACCAACATGAACAAGAAACATCTCGCCCACAGACTTAAAACAAAGGATTCAATAAAAATCTGGAAATAACGCTATCCTTTCATCATATATCCGTCTCTCTTGGGATCATAAAAAGAGATAAAGCTTAAAATAATATACACACACTTGCAAGCGTGATTGACAATCTGCCATTTCTTTTCTCCTCCTCCATTTTACCTATAATTAGTTCATTATGATTGCCAGGTGTCCTCCTTAACAACTGCAGTGACACAGGCCACTGCAGGGACAGTGTAAGTGTGGTTGGGGTCGGCCTCCCAAGTCACGGAGCCGTCTGAGCCCACGTTGATGTACTTGTACTCGACAACGTCTCCGGCCTTGAGATTGACGGGTCCAATCCACAGAGGGTGGTTAGAAGCATAGTTGACGGCGTTCAGAGCAACACCGGCGCTGGTGCTCCAGTTGCCCAGGGCCTGGGCGTTGCCGACGACCTTGATTGTCTGGCCGGGGACGGTCGTAGCAAGCTCGTGGAAGGTCACAGCCACGGAAGTTGGTGTAGCGCATGCAATAGGTGTGAAAGAGGTGCCAGTAGCCGCAGTCTTGGGAGTCTGTGACGGAGGGAATGACGTGGCTGTGGGACTTGAGTAGGAACCAGCCACCGTCGTGCCGGAGCAGCTCGAGGGAACGGTGTTGGCACCGCTGCTGACCCATGAAGGGGGGACAATGCCAGCGCGACGGGCCGTGGCAGTCAGGAACGAGGCGTACGACCAGGTCAGGTGAACGGCGGAGAGAGGAGTGCCGGTGTTCTTGTCGAACTGCTCAGAGAGAGAACCATCAGAGGGAACGTACTTGGCCGCCTCGCTGACGAATCCATCGGCGTAGGTGGATACGGCGTTGACGATGCTAGTGAAGGTAGACGAGGAGCTGGCGTAGGTTCCGGCTTTCACGCTGGGAACGAGCTCTTGGAAGAAAGCTAGAGAGGTGGAAGTGACAGTAATAGAACCAGTCTTCTTCCAGACATACAGGGCGTCGTACAGCTGCTCAGCAACAGCAAAGGTGGAAAGGTACCAGGGGTTTCCGTTAAAGTAGACGTCCTCTGGGTATCTACCAACGGCAACAGCAGTGCCAGCAGGGATGCCCGAATTGACACCATAGATGGAGCGGAAAGAGTCGACATAGACCTTGAGGTTTGAAAGAGCCTTGTCACTGCAGGGCTGGAAAGTGGCGGCATCGCAGCCAATGCTGGGATCGAAAGTGTGAATAGATGTGAGAATGGAGTTGGAATCCTTTCCAGTTCTGCCGTCGTTGCTGTTGACTGCGTCGACTAGTGTTAGCATACGCATTCATCTACAAGCTCGGTCTGCATTGGTAACTTACTGTTAGAGATGACATATCCGGATGGCGACCAGAACTTTTGAAGGAAGCAGAGAATCTGAGGAGCAACAGAGGAATAGCTGCTTCCCGACTGGCCAAGGGTAGCGGCAAGGGTAGCACCCTCAACAAGTGCTCGGTGCTGGTTGGCTACAGTAAAGAACGAGCTACCGTTGACCTCTTCCCACAGGTCGAATCCAGTTTGGTTCCTAATAGCCAAGGTTAGCAACAAGGTACCTGTGGATAGTGGGCAAGAGAACAGGCAATCACTAACCAGTACTGAGCGACGTAGTTGAGATCATTTCGCACAATGGGCCAAATGATGTTCGAGACTGTCGACTGGTAGTTGTTGCTAATGAGCCACTTTGAGTAGCCAATCAAGGCAATGGCTCGAAGAGCCGGTCCATCGCGCTGCGGGCGGCCCCAGTTGCCAGTGAACTGGCTCAAGGTAAGCTCGAACTTGGGCTCCCCGAGGCCAGACCCATCTGAGAGGGAACCAGATGGGTTTGAGATGCCCTGAAGAGTGACCTGAGCAGCGATGTACTGCTCGATGCGGCGCTGTAGGCCAGCATCGTAGTTCTGGGTGAACCGGTCAACAAGGGTCTTGAAGACGAGAGCACTGTCTCGAGTCCACATGTAAAAGTCTTTGTTTAGAGTCGCGTTAGTGTGCTGTATATATAGAGTATACGGTAGGATAGATATAATGCAAAACAAGCTTACAGTCTGGGTCAGTTGTGCTTGGCGACGCAACTACAGCGCCAATCGATGTGCCAAAAGCACGGCATCCATCAGGACCAACATTGCAAATCAAATTGTTCAGGGCAATAGGAGTTTCCGAGTTGATGAAGTCAGTAACGGCTCGTTTTTGGATGTCGGATGCGCCAGGCCTTCCCAAGACCTTTTGGACGGCAACGGAGCCGAGCAAGACGGCCGTTGACAAGACATGCATGATGGGCGGAATGAATGAGGCGTGCGAGGAGACGTTGAGAGAGAGTGCTGACGCTGAATGGCTCGCAGCCAGATCCATGGCGAACGCGGGCATCTTCACTATATAGTCGGGGGTCTAGACAGAACTTTTGCAGTATGCTATAGCAAACGGCTTGTTTATGCCGAGCCTTGCCCAGTGGGATCAGTCGTCCAATGAGAAGCGGTTGTTCGAGCTCAGAGTATCTCGCAAATGCCGCCGTCAATGCTCAGTTTCTTCGGACTCGGACCGACAAAAGGTCTACAGGGCCAAAGTGGATGTGCGGATCTCCCCCATGGGGAACTGAGGGCCGGAAGACTATACAAAGGGCCGATTCTTCTCCGGACCCAAGGGCTGCAGTTCGCGGTGCAACCGTTTGAGGGGTGAAGGAAGAAGAGCCGAGCAGCCTGATGGGTAGCGACTGGCGGTTGTGGTGGTGGGATATTCAGCTCTCTGCCAGCCAGCCTCTTTCTCGTTATCTTCGATTTCAGCTCCTCTCGTCGACGATGATGCTGCAGAGAAAACAGCACTGCATCTGGAGCAAAGGGGCCGTCATCCTTTTTCTACCATCTCGCCACTCCGGGATCAGCTCCTGGCCGGTGAGATCCGAGGAGTCGGCAACGCGGTCAACGGCAGATGGGCAGCTGATCTGATGCTTTGCCAGGCCGGGGCCAGCGCCCAATCACGCCCAGACGCTGCTGCTCTGCCTGGGCCACGCCGGCCAGCGTGACGAACTAGACTCAGATGCCGGGATGTGTCAGGCGAATGGGCTGGCAACGCGTCATTAGTCACGCTGTCAGAAGAGCATGCGCAGCTAAGGAGAGGGAGAGGGGAGGGGCCAAGTAAGGAGGCAGTCCTACCAAGGCCTCGAGACTTCAGGTCCAGACGGCAAAACGCTACCAACAACGACTCCCACAGCACAGCACATCTCACCCAGGCCAGGGGCTGCTCCGCATCTCCAAGCTCCCCCGTGGGGCAAATCCTGGACCATGTTCGTCTCGTTCAGGCTATGAGGCGCAAGGCTTGCCAGGTTCCCGCCCGCCGCTCATCCACTACCGCCTCTAGCCTCCGGTGCTAGGCCTCCTACCCTAGATCAACCGGAATATTAGCATTCAATGTCGCCGGAACTTTTGCGCTCCTGCATGGCTACATGTGCTTTGCAGCTTACAATAGGAGCAAAGATGGGCGCAGCAGATGAAAAATTTTCAATCTTTCGAAGTCGTCCGTTCTACAGATTCGTTTGGGTGTGGCCAAGTGGTGCCGAGTCGGCGCTATTACTCGAGCTTCCAGAGGAGCTGAGCTGGGTGTGTTTCACAAGCAGCCGAGGGCTCGTGATGACAGCTGTAATCTTGACTACATGCATATGCAGGTCGGACTGCCAAGCACGTGCCGTAGAAAGGATGAGGAGGCAAAAGAAGAACGTGGACGAATGAAAGAGGAAGAAAAAGTAGAACAGAGGTAGACAGACGTGACAGCATAAGTCGTCACCGCCTGGATAGGTACGAATACGGAGAAGGTGCATATTACTGTATGTAGAATGTCGGAGCAGGGTCTCGGCATCGAGTTTCACATGCACTGGCAAGTAGATGAGGCACCCTGTAGGCTGTAGCCACTTCCACAGGTACGGGGTGTTTTGGTGGGATCTCGCCGTGGGGGGACTTCTGACATCTGCCTAAATGTCAAGGATTGACATCATCAGAACCTCGCAGGACTCAGGAGGCTGCTTATACGGCATCCCTCCCTAACAATCACGCGGCTTGCATCGAGTAAGCAAACTGTTCTCCCATCTGCCCCGCTGACAAGGGATCGCATTTTGCTTTCCGAGTTCCTCGGAGTTATTTCGTAGATATTACGGCCCGAGTAATACAATTAATCATGGTTTGCTCCGAGCAGCTAGTCGGGGTGGCATCATGAGGTCAGACGGCTCTGAGTTGAGGCTCAACAGCCGTCTACGGACATGTCTACGGACATGTCTACAGAGATGTCTACAGAGATGTCTACAGAGCATCTGGTACTACCTGGGCATTGCACGCGCTGAGATGTAGGCATCCCATGGTTTTCCTCAACTTCATCGGCCGACGGCCTTGGTGAAAGGTTCGGAATATGGGGCCCCCGGGTCCTCCAGCCACAACACTCAAGCCGTCTTGCGACAGCGAATGAGGCAGCCAGAGGTCGAATTCTTCTTGGACCTGTCGATAGGATGATTGACACCATAGCAAGTTGATGGCTCCATAGAGTTATCGAGCTGCAAAGCAGTCGACCCTGACGCGTGAACGCAGGGGACCGCAGAGCACAGATCCGTGTATGTTAAGAAGAAAAGAAGCTTGAAAGAAAATTTCACGATAGAGCCTTATAAGGAGTCGCGATAAGATTGGCTGGTGGGGAGAATCACGTGATAAGAAGACCGGAAATATTTCGGCTAAAATAGGTTGCGCGCCAAGTGACGAACGAATTTAGCAGCCAGGCTGCGGTGGAGCATCAAGTACCGCCATCTTGTACCCGACTAGACGGCGTTTGAGACTTTCTTCTTTCTTACGTGTTCGCGACAGCCTGACCAACTTTCATCCTGTCTGATACCAACAGTAAGCAACCATGGACGCGGCAACGATCGAAGAGACGAATCGCATCCGAATTTCACTGGGCATGAAGCCCTTGCCGGTACCTGGAGCCGAGGTATCGCATCAAGCTTCAGCGTCCGACAACGAGGAAGAACCTGGAAGCACCGTCGAAAGTCGCCAAGCCCAGGCATATGACAATTACAAAAGGGTGCAGGACGAAGAAGCTGCCAAGAAACGACGCGAAGAGAAGGCCACCGCCGTACGAAAAGCCCGTGAAAAGGCCCAGCGATTTGCTCTGTTAGAGGGAAAGGGACTCGGTGAAGAAGGCCAAAGCAGCGATCTTGATGCAAAGGCGTGGTTGACAGGGCAAAAGAAGCGACAAAAGAAGATTGACACAGTGAGGAAGCTAGAAGAAGAGCTTGCTGCAGCAGAGGCAGAGGCAGCGGCAGCTATCCAATACACCTCCAAAGACCTCGCAGGCATCAAAGTAGCTCACGATTCAACGTCTTTCCTAGACGGAGACGAACAAATTCTTACTTTGAAAGATACGACGATTGACCAGAACGAGGAAGAGGGAGATGAGCTCGAAAATTTGGGCATCAAAGAGCAAGAGAAGCTCACTGAAAGATTGGAACTCAAGAAGAAGCTGAAGGGCTACAACCCTAATGATTATGATGATGGTGAGGGCACTATCCTGGCACAATATGACGAGGAGATCAACGGCAAAAAAGCCAAGAGATTTACTCTCGATGACGACGGAGCCATCGCCGAACTCTCAGATATCCTGGATCAGCCAGAAAGGAAGGGGAAGAAGATTCAGTCAATAAGCCTCGATGATATTGTCGGTATGTTCAGAAGCAAAAGGCCCAAGAATCTTACTAGTAGCACGATAGCTGACAATTCGCTAGATGATGCTGCACCTTCATCAGACTACCTTGCCCTTTCAGAAATCAAGGTGAAGAAGCCCAAAAAAAAGAAGGGAAACAAGGGCACAAGGCAGAAGCAGCTGGATGAAGATGATATATTCCCCTTGGAAACCGCTCCAGTGGATTCTGGCTCTATGGACATTGATTCTAAGGATTCTACGACTAAGAAACGAAAAGCTGCCTCTGCCGACAACTTTGCCGATGACGACGACCTTCAAGCGTCGTTAGCGATTCAAAGGAAAAACGCTCTAAAGAAACGCAAAAAGACGCGACCTGAAGATATTGCAAGACAACTCAAAGAAGACGACGAGGTGCCCGAGGTGCCCGAGGAGGCCCAAAGCGGTGGCCTTGTGATCGGCGAGATTTCTGAATTTGTTGCCGGCCTGAGCAAACCAGATGATGACGACCGCCAGACCAGGAAGCAAAAACAGATTACAAAAAGGCCTGAAGCAGACGAAGATCATGACATGGGCGATGGAGATGCAGGTGGAGATGGAAACGAAGATCATGAAATGGATGACTCTTCAGCAGAGATTGCAGCACGCCAAGAAGAAGAAGAGAGGAATAACAAGATTAAGCAAGAGGGGGAGGGAAAAGATGTGGGCATTGAGGATGAAAAGATGGTCAGTACCGGTATTGGCGCAGCCCTCGCACTGCTTCGAGAACGAGGACTCCTCGAGTCTCAGGAGAAGAGTGGAAGCTATGAAGACTTCGTTGCTCGCGAAGAATTTCTTTCTAGGAAGAGAGTCCTGGAGGCTGAATTGGACGAACAGACTCGACAACAGAGAGAACGTGACAGAATGAGCGGCAGGTTAGATCGCATGTCTGTTCGAGAAAGAGAAGAGTGGGCTCGACAGCAAAACACCCACCGTGACCACCAGCAATCGAAGAAGATGGCCGAGCTCTTTAACGCGAACTACAAGCCAAATGTTGAGTTGAAGTATGTCGATGATCACGGCCGATTGCTAGACCGCAAAGAGGCCTTCAAACATCTCAGCCACCAGTTCCACGGCAAGGGCAGCGGCAAGGGCAAGACCGAAAAGCGTCTCAAGAAGATTGACGACGAAAAGAGGCAAGAGGCGCAGAGCATGTTTGACGCGAGCGAAAGCGCCGGCATGAACTTGGCGACGGCGCAGCAGCTGAAGAAGCGCAGGGAAGCAGGTGTACGGCTCGGCTAAAGTTGTTCAACCATGAAGACGACTCGAGTCGAAGGAACAGCTTTCCTTTTTTCTTCTTCTTTATTCTTCTTTTGCGAAAACTGTCTCACCACTACCTCTCGGCGTATTTACTAAGTACCGCTTGTTGGCTTTATTAGGGAAATTTTGACTTCAAACCAAAGGTGCTTATTCCTTTTCTCATTATACTCTTTCTTTTCTCTCGCTTTGTGTGTTTTGTCCCTTGCTGACACTGCTAGAGTCGATATCGACGTGGTGTACCTACTCCAGGTTCGTCATTTTGATTCGATCCCACTTCTCTATTGCTCAGCGTGATGATGCCAGATGAATAACTCGTAATGTGATCCTGTATCTTGTCTCTAGTAATGTGTTTCGTATTTCCGTAAATACTTAGTAGATGATATCCAAGATAGAGTATAGCCCTCAGGGTTGGTGTATTAGGACGGTTGTCGAACAAAGAAGAGATTTTTAGAATTAGATGTAGATTGCCACTTTCCGATGATGATTATACCAATACAGTTGTACACTTCTTCCAAAAGTCACGTCTCTGCTTACTTGCGGACTCGTTTTGCATATTCAGCTTTGAGAGTATCTCTGTGTATATCGCATATAAATTTCTTGTAGAAAATGTCAACCTGTATACCAAAGCATTCCTTGTGAATCAAAAAATCAAAAGTCCAGAATGAGACACCAAACGCTGCTCCCAAACACAAATCCAAAACGATATCATAGCTTAAAGAACGAATGAACGAAATAAATGTACCGTCTATATCCTGACCCTAGCTCCAATCCCCCGTCCCTCGTAATGGACGGTCTCTATCCAGTTTCCTATCCTTATTGTCGCGTTTGCCGAGGCATCAAGTTTCAATGAGCCGTCCATGGCATCAATCAGTTTATCATAACCGATGCTATCTGCCGACCATGTAACCGGGAGTCGTGGAGTCTCCGTCACCCCTGGGGGCGCATCGAAGGGCTCATCGTAGAGGATGTGGCCAACGGGTTCTGTATGGTTGTAATATGCTGTAGCGTTTATCATCTCAATATGTATAGTATTCTGCTTGAGTGGTGATGCCAGATTGAAAGAGGCCGTAGATGAGAAAAGATGAAAGACGGCATCTCTCACAAAGTTTTTACCCTGGCTACTGCCGTGCTTCTTGTCCCCCGGAAGTTTGATTCGGGGTGTTGGCAGCGTGATGTTGAACTTGGAGAGCGCGTCACCGATGATGGGCTGTCCTGGAATACTGCCCCGATGAGTCTTGAGTGTCAATGTTGTGTTTTGGCCTGAAAGATAGTCGGATAGCAATTTCGCGGCGGCTTTGTGACTTTCCTCACCGCCAAGAGACACCGGATCCCAAGAAGCGGATACGGCCAAATTTGTGTTGTTTCCCAATTGTACGTCAAGATTGCTAACAGTGACTTCTCCAATGATGAGCTCTTTATTATAGACGTGAACAGTTGCAAAAGGAATAAAGGCTGTGTAAGGCGTAGGATTCGTTAAGTTGACCGACGCCTGCATGTGAACAGCATGTTTCGTTGTGTTCACGATGACCAGATTGAAGACGCGGGGGTCAAGTTTCGTAAGCGATTTACCAGGAAGCTCTGTTCCATTGAGTTAGTAGAGCTATCCTTGGGCATCTTGTGACATGAATCATAACTGTACTTTCAATAGCTCAAAAGACGCGTCATGACACCATCACAAGCGAGCCGCGCAATAAATTACCAAGGCGAGGACAAACGTTTTACTGGAATCTTGCCCTTTGCGGGGACATCTCTGAGAACTAGATCTCCAAGCACCGTTGAGACCTTGATGTCAACGAGTGACTCAACGTCAAGCAGAAGATCCTCATCGCCGAGTAGAAGCTGTCCCATTACATCGCTGAAGACATCGCTATCAGTGATGTCAAGGGGCACATTGTTGATCCTAGACGTGATTTCAAGCTCCGCTTGGCCGTCTTCAGGGTCGTTCATCTTGCTGGAATTGGCCTTTTGCCACTGTTGCACATTCAACTCGCCAAATTTCTTGCCTTCGTAAAAGATGTTACCACTGGCTCGGAGACTGTTGACACTGATGTCCACATTCAGCTCAGAGGGAAGTACGGCCAGAACTTGGATCGTCCCAGAAACACGAGCTTTTGAGTCGGGATCATTGGGATCCGCAAAAGGACTTGGAAGTTTGAAATCGACATCTGTAAGAGAGAGGTTGCGAATAGCATCATCAAACGATGATCCTGGGAAGCTGAAAGGAACGATGACGCTGCTGAGGAAAGATCTGATCCACTCTGGAACATCCGACTCATCGGAGTTCTGACCTCGGACGTAGACCTGGGCATCTTCGCCATTCATATAATGCTTGAAAAAGTTGTCGAGCGGCGACATTTTGGTGAGAGGACAAGCCTGGGTAAGCTCTTCCGACAGATCATTGATGACACCGGTGGCATCGACCGTAACATTAGCATGCGGCTCAACATCGATTGGATGTGTAATGGCAGTGGCGATCATGATGGGAGGTTCGGATGGGTCACAGTTGGGAACGAGGATATCAAATGCAAGCTTTGGAACGGTAAGGCCAATGGGATAGTCGTTGTATGCGACGATTGATGCGTTCGCCCCAACGGCCATCCGCCCTCCATCACCAATAGGAACGTCATGGATGTTGAGACGGTCTATGTTGTATTCGGGCAAAGATGGGATTTCGTTGGCTATAATGGAATTAGCAAATGCTGCAACACGAGAATACAAATGAAAAGACTCTTCAAATTATTGTTTTTTCTCCAAAATACAATGCAGCAAAGGTGCGGTAGAGAGATTGACCTTCAAAGACCATGGACTCGACCACGTCGTGAGTTCCAAGCGGCAAAATGCCCGTTTTGATACGAAGTGCGGTCGAACCGGTCACCTTGACCTGCTCAAGCTTGCCATCTAGCCAGTCATTCACAATTTGGCGGAGACTCTCGGCGTCTCCAGGGCTGAGATCTGCCACAAAGTCTAGCACGGTAGTTTTTGTATCAACCAAGTTGATAGTCAATGGTGGCACGACGGCAGAGCCCAGGAGAGCGTTATCGTAATTGGGCAAACGAACGCTAACGTTTGTCTCTTCGGTATCGAGGGTTCTGACGATGCTGGTTGCCAGTCTGCCGAGGCGTCTTGCTGTGGCATCTTGAACTCGAGCGCCGTCCAACTTGAAATTGGCTTGAATTCGCACACGAACGCTATCTGGAGTGAGAGATTCGAGAGATAGGCCGGTTGGTTCGATAACGGCAGCAGTCTCAGCGTAGGTCTTGACGGCAGGAGGGACGAGGAAACCCAGGACCATGACTACCACAGTGAGGGCGGCCAAGACTGCAATGGCGATAATTGAGGGCCATCGTAGGCGGCTTCCTGACTTCTTCGGAGGCTTGTTTAAGCTGTCGCTTTCGCCATCTTCACTCTCTTGGCCATGATTGGCTTCAGAAAGCAATGGCGAAGCTTCAGTGACCGGCGCGCGCTCGGATTCCGACGAGAGCAAGGGAGACGTCTCCGATGCCTCCGGTGGCTCATTGTCTAGTGTTGCGGCATCGGTAGAGCGAGAATTTGGTTTCAGGAAGCTAACGATGACCCGGAAGTCAGGCATGGCGGGCCTGGGAGTTGGGCGATAGCGTGAAGACTGCAGTAAGATGCGTCCCTGGCGAGACGTCACCTCTCACTGGAGGCTGAATAGGATGTACGAGCAGCGGCTGCCGTAAGCGTCTAGTCGCGAGGAGTGGAGGATGCTCCAGACTGCGGAGATGATCACTTCTGCAAGGCAAGGCTTCCGGATTTGCCAAGATGGGCTGGATTGGTATTATCGGCTTGGATTGAAGGTGGAAGTTGTTGTCGTCACGATCGAGTGACAGGAGTGGGCCATTGGGTATCGGGGCGGCTCGAGAACGGAGACAGTACACGTGGACGGCCGATATGATTGGCTGCTCGGTGCCACAATTGCTGAGTAACGTCCCCTGAAAGAGATAATGGAGTACCGAGTACCTGCGCAGGGGCCGTTTCTGCCTCCCAGCGTGCCGCGCCCTGTGCTAAAACTAGTGCAGGCACCACTAATCTGTAGTGGCACGGAGTACTCCGTACCTTCCAGGTCTCAGGTTCCTGGGCTCAAGAGCTAACCTGATGCAGCTGGCTAAGTTTCGTACCTCAGTCGGAGGTGGGATGCTCCATAATTGCGTCTTCAGCCAACAGATGAAGCTGCTGCATCCCAACTAAAGAGGCTCAGTGAAGAGTGCTCCGCTTTTTTTTTGGGGGTATCAGCTGGAGCACCCTCGACTACAGTAGATACGCAAGTGTATAATGGAGTAAATGAAGCCTAAGTATTGGAAAAGGAAATAGAAATAATAGAAGCAACAGCACAATATCAATAATAGATACCTACCTGTTTAGAAATCACGACTTGCGGCCATTCTAAAAGGTGTACCTGTATAGTAGATCTATAGTGCCCTGATTTTGTCTCCCAAATTTGCAGTCTCTTGACGAAGGGAAATCTGGACAAGATAAGCCGATAGGTGCTCCATTGACTTTTGTTGTCAACCAATTCTTGAACAGACGAAGTGGACCATGTCTCAACGGAAAGCTCTGGAGGCCCCTCACCTAGAGAAACAAGTGCCCTACCCTGAAGCACAAGCTGTAAGACATGTTCCACTTGCATCGTGAATCACAGGCCAGAGATCAATGTAGGTGAGCAGCAGATGATTTTACACCTTTCTGTAGATAACCAATTTCAGGATTCATCCTTATTGCTGTACGCTTACTTGCTTTGCCTGGCATCTATAGGCACGCGGGCTCAAACCTGCTTCTAAACAGTAAGTGCGATGCCCAAGTGCTATGCATTGCAGTTTCTGTTCTTGGTAATGTCGCATGCTAGGCGCTATGATTGTCTCCTCGAATCTTCCGCAGTTAGAATTGCATCTATCGTATGAGTAGCCCACTACAGGGGGGCGTTCCATTGGCCTCTTCAATGCTGCTCATTTGGTCTAAAAACTTCCAGTCTCATGATTGGAGGAATCAAGTAGCTGCGAAATGGGAAGACAAAAAAAGGAGCAGACGGAAAAAGAGTCTTGGCAATAAACCGCCTTTATCCGCTCCTGGGGAGACCTCTGGCTTTAGTTGACGAGCGTAAGAGTATCTCTGACAGCCAGTACGTGCCAAGAATATCGCGAGCTTCCTCTTTCGGTAATCTGAACTTGGCGCCTGCTCCTATTTGTAGAACTACCTATGCGTATAAACGGCTTGCTTATTATTAGGCAGGACTATTTGTTTGCAAGTCCGCAGACAGCCCACAGTATGCTCCGCCCTTCCGAATAACATACGCCTGAGTATTTTTTGCTGCAGCTGCGATAGAATGACTTATTATCCTCACTTTGACAAACACTTAGTAATCATCAGACACTGCTACAACTAACCTATCAATCCCTTTGTCCGGCGTTTATCTCGTAGAATTTGGTTCAGTGAATGCTGCTACCTCACTAATGCCGCCGCGCGCACTAAACTTAAATTTTACTCTACTTTCATGGTTACTTTAGTGGGTCGCGTTGCATTACTCGCTGTTCTCTCTCCAGGGGTTATAGAGCAACAGAAGCAATAAACTAGTATACCTACTAGTATAGTTTTGTGTCTTCGAGGCCTCTTGTCAAATACTGCTAGTCCTAAAGCGAAATTTGCAAGGCTCCCTTAGAGTATGGTGCTAGATGGTCATCTGGATGCATCACAGCTCAGAGAGCCAAGACATGCAAGTCTACTCCGTACTAAACTCACTGCTATATCCCCTGAGCAACAATTGATAAGCTACACAATCAGCTCAAATGCTGGAGATGAAAAATTTAGTTCAGATATTGTAACAAGAATTGCTATTTTAAGTGATAGTTCCAAATGTAGCAGCCGGCGAACCCGTAGTCAAAGCTTAACCTGATGATATGGAAAGTTTACGTATGACATCCGTAAGATGGCCTGTTACAATCTTATAACAAACACACCTGGAAGTGAGATGTGGTGAGCTTCACAGACCGACCGACTCGTGGTACTGGCTTAGATCTGATTTCTAGAATGGCTTTGGAAATCGAATTTAATCCACCAGTCACAGCTCGGCCCAACCCACGCCACTTAGACTTCTCCTGCCCAGTTTGGCATTTGGGAACCATGAGCTGGTTATGCATAGAGATCCACCGAGATCCATCCGAGAAACATGGCTGCAGTCCGCTCGATCTCCAGGGGCTTAATGAGTATTGATTGGCTAGTCTGCAATGAAACGCTCTCTAATTGAACGATCTAGCTTTCTCCGAATTGATGACCAGCTCTATGAGAGCAATTATAGTCATTCCGAATGAGCTAGATCCTTGAGTGTGGTGGTGCATAATGGTGCTTGAATACCAGCCTCGTATCAGTCTAGTTGCAAGCATGGTAGAGCACGCTTTCCCTCGGGATCTGTATGTTAAAAGACAAGGTTAATAACGCAGTTCGCTCGTTTCGGTTAACGGGAAGTGCAGGAGGGCACAAGTATAAGTAGTCGGGCTCTGTCGATCATTTTGTTCGAAACCTTCATCTCCTACTCACACAATCAACTCAGTCTCAGGTCAAATTCCGAATAAAACCTGTCGAGGAGAAGAATCACCTTCAAAATGGTTGCTCTCAAGTCCCTTTTCGCCGCCGCCATGGCTCTTCTGCCAGCGGCCAGCGCCACCCGCACCTTTTACAACGACGGTCACCTCAACGGCTTTGACTTTGTTCGCCACGAAGCTCAGGGCACCGTCTCTGAAGTTTCCAACGTCGTCTACAAGGGCACCTCGGCCCTCAAGATGACCCAGACCTACCTTGGAACCTCGTACCACGACCGCTACCACTCCGAGGTCGACCACAACCAAGGCTACAAGCGCGGCGATGAGCTCTTCTACGGCTTCACGTTCCGCCTCTCCGACACGTGGGAGACCTCCAGCCAGTCCTACAACCTTGCCCAGTTCATTGCCAACCGTCCCGGCGCTGGCTGCGGCGGCGATGACTGGATGCCCTCCACCATGATCTGGACCCAGAACGGCCAGCTGTACGCTCGCTACGTCAACGGCCACTACCGCCAGCCCAACTGCGGCCGCAACATTGTCACTCGTCCCAACCTGGGCGCCATCACCCCCGGCCAGTGGCACAAGGTCATCCTCCAGGTCAAGTGGGCATCCGATGGCACCGGCTACTTCAAGGTCTGGTTCGACGGCGCCAAGGTGCACGAGGAGTACGACATCTCCACCACTCTCGACGACGACAGCCTCTTCCAGTTCCGCATCGGTCTCTATGCCAACAGCTGGCACGACGACAACAAGATGGTTGGTAGCCAGAGCTTCCGCCAGGTCTGGTACGATGAGGTTGCCGTTGGCACTACCTTTGCCGATGTTGACCCTGACCACGTCGCCTAAGTCGCTGACCGCGAAGAGTTTCTTGTGAGGGCTGTATCATTAGTGAATCACAAGAAAAATAATGCTCTTATTGCCCATTTAATACTTTCAAAAGTAGTATATAGCTTTACAATTCTTACAACATCGTGTATATAACTTACTTAGTACCTATCTAGTATATATTCAACAAGCGTATACTGCTGCCATCACATACATGGACATACAATGTACTCCTACAATTTCTTTCTCATATTCCCTCTTAATGCATTAATGACGTTTTTATTGTAATGACTCTCAACCCAATTTCGGTGTTATTTGTGCCCGCATCCGGAATCTTTAAAGTGCTTGCATTTTACATGCCTGTGTTACAAGCATCAAACGGGCTAGAGCTACAGCCAGCGACCCCACTTTTTTTTTCTGCGGCAAACCTCACATCGGCGCCGATGACTGACTCTTTTGCAGCTCTGATAACTACATGACTCTACATTTTGATAGGTCGCACCAGCAAATGTTATAAATTCAACGTTTTGGATCTGAATTTCAGTTTCATTCCATCTCATAGCATCAATTGGCAATTTCTCCAGCTCCAATCGCAGGTAAAGCTCTCGTCAGCTTAGGAAAAAAAAAAGGACGTCATGAAGATCACAGCAGCGCGAGCCCTCCGAAACGCGGCCAATGGCTTCCAAAGCCGCGCCTACTCACAAGCCGCCGCCAAGCCCCGGCATCTCATGTCCATCAGCGACCTCAAGCCTTCAGAATTCTCCGCCCTGGTGCGCAATGCCGCCGCCCGGAAACAAGACGTCAAGTCTGGCCGAGTGCCGCACCTGAGCAACGGCTTGGCTGGCGAGACGGTGGCCATGATGTTCAGCAAGCGAAGCACCAGGACTCGAGTCTCGACCGAGGCTGCGGTCACGATGCTGGGAGGACACCCCATGTTTCTCGGCAAGGATGATATTCAGCTTGGTGTTGGTGCTTTCTAGCGTTTATTGATTTTTAGTTGATATTCGTCACTAACACTGGGCAGGTAAATGAGTCGCTATATGACACTTCTGTTGTCATTTCATCAATGACATCTTGTATGGTCGCTCGAGTCGGTCCTCATTCTGATGTCACAGGCCTGGCAGAGCACTCGACCGTGCCTGTGATCAATGCCCTCTCAGATGATTTCCACCCCTTGCAGACCATTGCCGACTTTCTCACCATCTACGAGGCCTTCCCATCTTCCGTCTCAAGCGACAATAGCCTCAATCTCAGTGGCCTCAAGGTTGCATGGGTCGGTGACTCCAACAACGTGCTGTTTGACCTGGCCATCGGTTGCGTCAAGACCGGCGTCGAGATCGCTGTCGCCTCGCCCCAGGGCTACGGAATCCCCGACCACATGAGGAAGCTCATCAACTCAGCTGCTAACGGTGTCAAATCACCCGGTAAGCTGTCAGAGACGACTGTTCCCGAGGAAGCCATTAAGAACGCCGATATTCTTGTTACCGACACCTGGATCTCAATGGGACAGGAAGCTGAGAAGCAGAAGAGGCTCAAGGCTTTCGCCGGATATCAGATCACTAACGAACTGGCAACTCGAGGCGGTGCCAATGATAATTGGAAGTTCATGCACTGCCTGCCTCGACACCCCGAAGAAGTTGCGGATGAGGTGTTCTACAGCCCGAGGTCTCTTGTCTTCCCCGAGGCGGAGAATCGACTCTGGGCAGCCGTTGGTAAGTCACTCTTCTGCTAGATATGGCAACATAACGCTGACTTGTTCTTTTTCTTTCCACAGCGGCATTAGAAGGCTTCGTTGTAAACAAGGGTGTTCTCGAGTAATATTAAAACCTTCAAACTTATGTAGTTTATAAGAAGCTTTGAAGAAAAAACTTTTCGCACACTCTCAAAAGCACAGGTGGTTAAAAAAATCGAATTCATACAAAACTGCTATAAACCAACAACCATTCCCTTTACCAGAACTGTCCCAATTGGCACCAGCTAGGTACAATAAATACTCGTAGGAAAACATGATTTTAACCAGGAGGAAGCTGGCTTGCATCAACAATCTCGTCGGCATCCTTGATAATAGGCTCCTCGGTGTGCTTGGCGAGTGGTGACCTGGGCAGGGCCATCAGACCGGTACGGGCAGATTCCAAAATTCCAAAGGGAGAAACCAGCTTCAAGAATGAGTCAATTCTCGACTGCTTAGCGGACCTGTAACCCAACATGTTAGCCCGGGGGGTTATTCTAGCAAGTGACGCTCATGAGGATGCTGTATGACTTACACTTCAACAATGCAGCTGGTAGTGCTAATATCCAGCACCTTGCCTCCAAATTGGTGGGTGAAGTAGGTGATGGTCTTCAAGTGCTCATGCTTGTGTCGGAGAGCCTCACTGGCAGCTAGCTTGCCAGGGTGGAAGTCCTTGGCCGACTCTTCGAGAGTTCGCTCAAACTCGTTGGTAGGCTCGCCATCGTGCTCGCCGTTGCTGATTTCGCGGTGATGGGCCAGCAGCTCCTCAAAGTACTCAGGTCCGAGAATGTTGACCTTGGCAAGAAGAAGTTCGCGCTGGACCAGAGCGGCGTCGCTATAATCCAGCACAGCCCAAACAGGCACCAGGTCTTCCAACTGTCTTCTGGCCTGCTCGACAACGCCGTCCTGGCCGGTCAAGACGATGGTCATGCGAGACAGATCCTCCACCTCGGTGCTGCACACAACCAGAGAATCAATGTTGAAACCCCGGGCAGCGAGAATACCGGAGAGACGAGAGAGCACACCCGGCTCGTTCTGGACCAGGCAGTTGAGGATGTGACGCTTCGGAGGCGCCATGGAGGGCGTGGGCGTCTCATAGAGAATGTTGGAGACGGCGGCCTGGGCCGACCAGGCTGGGGGGGTGTCGGTGATGGGCAGAGGAGCCGAGCGGCGGCGCAGGGCCTTGTAGGCGATGGCAGAGGTTGAGCTGCTGGATGAGCTGTGTCGCACAGTCGTCGTCCGCACAGCAGTGGGGAGAGACTTCGCAGCGAGGCGCAAAGGCGCGCTCCATGGCCGAAGCGAAGCCATCCTGCAGTGCCGCGAACCAATCGAGTTCGGTCGCTGAAAGACAGTAAGTCGGACGGCGATGGAATGGGGTTGGATGCTTCGTGAGCGTTGAGTCACTGAAGATGGAAGGATTTAAAAAGAAACAAGAAAAGTTAGTGGCCGCGAGAGATGGAGGTGGGCTCCGATAAACCGGAGGTTTTGACTGACGCAGCGATTTAGCACGGGGTCAGTTGGCTGACGGACGCTAATATATACCTGTATGTAGGGAAAAAGATTCCACTACTGCTGCATTTATACTTCAATGTTCCGAAATGGGGACTACAGCCAACTTAATTACTGAGCGTGAAAGGGCAACTTAAGAAAACTCTGATTGGCTGCTGGAACCTTGATGGTCCAAGAAGGCGGTTGAGCGCTCAGCTGCTCCAGCACTATCACGAGCATATTCCAGCACCCGAAAGTGATCGGATGTGTGCCCCGCCAAGAACTCCCCCGCGATCTGGCCATACTCGGCATATGTGAAAGTACAGGTTACATACTCTTTTGCGCCCTGTGGTGGTTATTATCGGGCTCAATTTTCTTCTTCTGTTATGTGATTGATCGCTTGTTGTAGGCCATACTGAGACACTAATTGCTCGAGAGTCTCTGATCTCGCTCTGAGTATATCTCTGCTGTACTGAGCCTCTTGACAGAATACAGCTCCCCAAAGCGGCCTCAACCCGCAACGCCTCACGTAAGAGCGCATGTGTGGCTGACGACCGCATTGCCACCATAGACAGCGAGATGGCGTGTCCTGAAGCCCAGTACTTTGAAATGCAGGATTCAAAAATTCATGACTTAAAACGCATCTCAATTGCGCCCAATTGCTACATTGGCCTGCGTACATTACATAGGTAGGTAGGGGTCTTTTATCAGCAAGAGCTCCGACACCGCAGGCCAACCAAGCACTTCCCCATGGGTTCAGCTTTAAGTGGTCAGGATTATGTAAGGCAATAGGCTTGCACGCGCAAGTACGTTTTTCCGATGCCAAGCAGGCGCACCCCTGTCTATCTAATCTTGATACGAGGCAGAGAAAAAAAAGGAAAAAAATCACCCATTTAGGTACCAAGTGCCCTCTAAAGAGTGCCCAAGCACAGTGGTTGGCTATTGGTGCTGATCCACGCATGTCCCGAGCTCTTGTGCCCTGCAGCCTTGCATCCTTCATCTGCCTTCTTTGCTGAATACGACGCAACCTCGGCTCTATTTGCGAGCGGCTCTTGCTTTTCCTGCCAAACAATAGAACAACCGAATTTTGCCAATCGCAAACTGTCCATCTCTCGCGACGCCATGGAGGATACTGAGCGACGACCAAAGCGATCTCGTTTCGACCAGACGGAGCCTGAGCCCAAACGAGCATCTAGATTCGACAGGCGCTCCCGATCTCCGCCTACGCGCCGCCACGAAGGCAGAGACCGCAGTCCGCTGCCCAAGGATGATTCTTCCGAGACAAAGAAACCTGCAGTAGATGCTGCTGCCGCCGCTGGTACGTCCCTTTGACTCACGGCTCTTCAGGCGCAAATGCGCAAATGCGCGTGCAACTTGCGATTGCGACGAGCTAACCTCGCAAAATAGCCGCCGCCGCTGCCAAGATCAATGCTCAGCTGCAGGCGCGAAAGGCTCCCCAGCATGTGGATGTCCCCCCGATCAGGTCTTCGGGCGAGCAATCCGACAAGCCAGGCGACAATGAGATGAAGCCCGATATGTATGTTGCCGAGGGCGACTTCATTCAAGACATCGAAGTCAACGACCTGCGAAATCGATACCTGTTGACCAAGGGCTCTACTCAAGAAATGGTAAATGCTTTTCAATCTATCTACTCTGTTGGATTCGTCAGCTTGACGCTCGCGACACTATGACTCAAGTTATCAAGCTCTCGTAGCTGCGGAGTTACAGCTGCTTCCCCCCCTTTCTGCTCTCACTAACCTCGTATTCACTTAGATTCGAAACGATACTGGCGCTGGTACGCCATAATCCTTGCTACAAGAAGTTCTAGAACGCTGATATTGACTCTTCCTCCCAGATGTCACCACCCGTGGTAGCTATTACCCAAACAAGAGCATGGCAACTGCAGCGGTAAGATGAATCAATGACACTACACCACACTCTTATACTTTGCGTTCTAACTTGGCTTCGCACACAAGAACCCTCCTTTATATCTTCACATCACCAGTACTACCAAGGCTGGTCTTGAATCCGCTGTGGAAAAAATCAACGATCTCATTAAGCAGGAGCTTCCCCAGCTTGTCGATGAACGAAGATTCCGACGCAGAGACCAGGAGGAGCGGCCGCAAGTTGAACGAGATGAATTTGGACGAGTAAGATACTATCTGGAACACTTGTACTCCTTCATTATAAGTAGCTAACCAATCTTTTTAGCGCAAATGGCCCGATGAGAAGATCCCTATTACTCTTGAGCCAATTCCAGGGTTCAACCTACGTGCTCAAGTAGTTGGCCATGGCGGTGCCTACGTAAAACACATTCAACAAGAAACCGGCTGTCGAGTTCAAATTAAGGGCCGAGGCTCAGGCTATTTGGAGGCTGCCACAAACTGCGAAAGCGACGAGGACATGTTTCTTCATGTCACGTACGTATTCATACTGAGACTCCTTTCTGCCCGGATTTGCGTTATTGACTTTCCATTCCAGAGGACCTGACCCCAATATGGTCGCCAAAGCCAAGGAGCTCTGCGAAGACTTGATTGCCAACGTCAAGGAGCAGTACGAGGAATTCAAAGCTCGACCGCCTCGCTATAACAATGATCGTGGCGGTTATGGCGACCACCATCACCATAGGGGGTCCCACGACCGGTCGCATGGCGGATCTCACCACAACTCGTACAATTCGTATAACAGATACAACTCCGATTCTGGTGCCTCCAACAGCCCCGCTCCAGCAGCCAGCAACCAGCAGAGCGCAACCGACTATGCTGCTCAATATGCTCAATACTATAATGGAGCCGATCCCTATGCCGCATATGGAGGATACGCTAAGTAAATCAGCCTGTCCAGACTATCTTGGATAAAGAACTAACGTATTGTAGCTATGTCGCCTTGTATCAACAGTACTATGGAGGTCAGACCCAAGCACCAGGTCAGAGCTCACATGCAGCAGCCCCAGGTCAATCCGCCTCTCCTCCGCCGCCTCCGCCTCCTGCCGAAGCAGCTCCTCCTCCACCACCGCCTCCAAGCTCTGCACCACCGCCTCCGCCACCATCCGGACCACCGCCTCCTGGTGGAAGCTTTAGTGCTGTATGTCTAACTCTGATTCACACTCTCAACTGCGGAGCGTCGGCTAACCACTCCTCGATGACTATAGGTTCCGCCTCCTCCAGGGCTTTAAAGGAATAGGTCTCCATAACTGACTTAAGAGCTTGCTACTCCTTTTGTTATGCTGACTTTGTAATATGCATGGTTGACAACAGGGGGCAACAGATCTCGTACACGAATGGCTTGGAGGAAGCGCAGAGCTGCTAGTTCAAACGCGCCGCACGATATCTTAGGTTTGGTACGAAAGGTTTCAAACTGACAAGTCCAGACATCTGAATTTAGACATAAATCCAGTGGTAGGGAGTTGGTCTTGACGAGACCAGTTTATTTTTTGTTGATAACTATTGTTCAAACAGGAAGAAAAAGTTGATGGTTCTTGTGTGAGAAGTCTTGAATGCTGACAAGCACAGGCTGTAAACTATTAATCTGGATCAGAGTAATAATAGTGGTTTCTACGATGTGTGTATGAAAGTGATGGTTCAAACTAGTGATGGCGAAGGGTATGAAAGCCCCGAAGACGAATGCCTATAATATCTTATTATACAAACATTGCTTCTGCAACCGACTTAAATTAGGCATGTTGTATAACCATAGGGGAGAGGAGTTACTTTTCACATCTGTGATTAAGTCGACGTTGTATCATATTATTATTTTTGCCTCTCATTTCCATCCTGTAAGCCATGTAATCAGATTTCGAATTGAGCCCACTCTTACAGAAGTGTGGTTTTCAAAGAGATCCTTGAGAGTCTGTTGAGGAATATCCTCCAAGCTAGCTATCTCAGTTGACTTTCCTTCAACGTCAAGAAGCACAGGATTCCAGCCTGCCTCAGCAGCGCCGACGACGTCTTTGGCAACTTCGTCGCCAACATATACTTTTTGCCAACCCTCCAGATCGGATTCGCTTATAGTCTCGTGATACCGAGCTTTGATGATGTGGGAAAGCATAATATCGGCGGCGTTGAAAATCCGTCTGTCTGGCTTCTCCACGCCAACGTCGTATGACATGCAATGGAAGTCGATGTCATATTGCTTCCCTTGAAGGGCGCTTGCTTCAAAAGGTATTCCGTATCGTAATGGGCTTACGTTAAGCCCAAAGGAGGACAGGACATCGGGGACCCGATCGTCGGAATTTGTGATGACTCCAATGACAAGCCGCTCAACCCCTTGTTGGGATATCCGCTCTCGCAAAGCTCTTATTGCTGGGACAAGATCACGCTGGGCTTGATAGCCTTCGCTTGAAGAGAATCGGTGTAGTAGTTTTGGGACTAGAGTAGGGGGGAGGGCCTGGTTGTTGCGCATGAGTGGTGTAAATGTTTTGTGGATGACCTAGAACAACCGATATCAGAAATGGGTAAATCAGTCTTACGCTAGAGTTTTGGACGCATATTGAACGTATATAGAATTGATCAATGTAAAACAACCCGGAGGGGTTCTACTCACATTTGTCCACCACTGAGTGGCGCCCAATCCTGTTGCCCTCCCATAGTTTGGATTCTTCTCCCGCTCTTCTTTAATTGCTTCCAGTAACCGAGATTGAAGCTCCTTATCGCTAAAGCCAGTAACGCCGCATTGTTTCGCAACCTGGGCGTATTGTTGGGCCACTCCTCCTTTGGGGCTGAATAAAGTGCCGAATGCATCAAAGCACAAGAGCAGATTTGGCTTTGATGTCCTCATGATGGGCCGTGACGATGCTGTAGTTGCCACAGGTGGAAGATCTCGGTGGAAGGACTATCTCCCCACACCCCTTTCTCGCCCCCCCGTCAAGTAAAAATTATGAGATAAATGGTGGCTAGTTGTTAAGTGATTACCTTTTAAGGCTCATAGTACGCATGTTCGGATATTCGATTCTGGTAGGGCTGATGAGAGAAAGGAGGGTTCGCGCGCCTGGGCACGAGAGGAGACGGGGGGGAATTATTGAACCGATTCGGCAACTAGGGAGCTTTACACACCTGTAGATGCCTCTGGAAATCGAGGAAATACACGTCACGAATTTGTTCTGTACATCTAGTTAGGTATGTAGTATTAACATATTTACAGGCAAAGTCTTTATGTGATTCATTTGCTATGGACATCAAATTCACTCTGTACTCGGAGACAACTAAGACTGAGACCTGGTTCTGATTTGGGGTTCAAAGCCTAAGATAGCCGAAACGGTGGCGCTGAGTGCTAATTATAGAAGAAACGGGGTCCCCAATCTCTTATCGATAGCGAGCTTGGTGACAGCTGCTAGCAGCTCCGCTTCCCGGTTATGTCGCTGCCATGTGCCTATCTGAACATTCATTGATTCCCAGCACAAGGCGCAATCCAGGATAGAAATGTCCCACCAGGCATACCCCTCTCACGATCCCGTCAAGGAGCCGCATTCGGTCTCCGTTAAAGTCCTCAGGTAGGCACCAAACGCTTTTCTAATTGGAGGGCCTCAATCTAGCCTTTAACCGCCGCCAACCCTCTCTCTCTGCAGGCTCTCTCAACCGTCTCTCGTAACGCAGTACCCGGTAGATCCTCCATTCTCTCCTCCCAACACCAAATCGCAGCCAGCACCCGCCTCACTCGCTTATAAATCCGCCTCGAATACGAATCCCGACCCGTTCCTGCTGAGCCCGATCCTTAACCTGCCGGTGTCGTTCGGCTCGGCTTACGTGGGCGAGACTTTCAGCTGCACCCTCTGCGCGAACAACGATCTGCCCCCCGATGCGGCAAAGCGCATACGAGATGTTCGCATCGAGGCTGAGATGAAGACGCCTGGCGTGGGAGGAACGCAGAAGCTCGAACTTGGGCCTGCGAACATCCACGGCGCGACGCCTGCGGGAGGGGTGGATCTCGAGCCGGGTGGGACGCTGCAGAGGATTGTAGGCTTTGACTTGAAAGAGGAAGGGAACCACGTCTTGGCTGTGACGGTGAGCTACTCGGAGGCTACGGAGACGAGTGGGCGGACGCGCACATTCAGGAAGCTATATCAGTTTATTTGCAAGGCGTCGCTTATTGTTAGGACCAAGGTAAGCGCCCTGGAGCCCAGTGCAAACAGCAGCAACTACAGAAAATGGGTGCTCGAGGCGCAATTAGAGAACTGCAGCGAGGACATCATACAGCTGGAAAAGGTGGTGCTGGATGTGGAGGAGGGCCTGGGCTATCAGGATTGCAACTGGCTCTCAGACGGAGACAAAAAGCCGGTGGTGCACCCGGGCGAGATTGAGCAGGTTTGCTTCCTGGTGCAGGAAGAGGGTACCGATGCCGGTGGTGGCCTACGACTCACAACGGACGGAAGGTTGATCTTTGGCGTCCTGGGTATTGGGTGGAGGGGAGAGATGGGCTGCCGAGGATACCTATCGACGGGCAAGCTTGGCGCTCGGGTTGCAGCACGGTGATTCAGTGGCAACAATCGAGAGAGCTATTCATTTACAAAACTCACCAAAGCAAGCTTCTTTGTGAGGAATATCAGGGAATCATTTGACGTCTCCAGCGTTCTGGTCCATGGATCCAATGGCCGCTTTTGAGTCAATTTTCGCGGCCGCGCGGATGCATGGCGTTCCATAAAGATGTGATGGAGCAATTCAAGAGAGGGGCTTATGATGCACGATTCACGAAAGAGAAGTACTATCTAGGTACATGGGAAATATTGACGTTGGGCGTCGAGAGCACCAATGGCCCGGGTCGACGGGTTCATGCCGTGCTGGGATATAAAGAGACCGACGCACAAGAGGCCAACTACCAACAGTTGTAGTGCCTACCGGGGAGTTACAAGTATCACTTTGGAGGCAACAAAGTGAAAAGAGGTCGTCTCAACAACTTCAAAGCGTTAAGAGAACCCAAGCACAGCAAATGTGTAGCCTGAGCTCTTACCAGACATTATCTTGGCTGTTAAATGTGTCTTGTCTCTTGTCTCTTGTTTCCGGACTACCCATTATAGGTAGGCAGTCTTGTCAAGGATGCATGGTTTCGTAAGGGTTTGGCAAAAAGGAGAATAGTAGTACTACTAATTAATACGTTACGGCCCAAAATCCGAGCGGACGGGATACTAGGCTGGGTAATACTACGTACCAAATTGACGGAGATTTCTTCCATTTCAATCAACCTATCTCAGCATCTCTATTTTTATCTTCAGCTTGCATGTGTGCATAGCTTGTTACCCAATCGGTCCAACTGTCAAGGCAGGGTCGTGTTTTAAGTAGTAGCCGTAAGCATTTTTTTCTCGTACTCCCCTCAAAACAACCAAACCGCTAGACTGCTAACCTAAAACATTCCAACATGCACTCCTGTTCGTGTATCAGGGATGCGCCCGCCGTTTGACTCAGTGCGAGATGCATCGTGTATGCAAGACTGATCTGACGCTGACGGCAATGTCGTACGAGGAGGTGAATTGTTGCTAAGAATACCAGTCTGGTTCTTATTCTTTGGTGATCCTCCGTTTGGGAAAATGTTACTGCTCAGTTTCTCTGCCCCCTGGCATCGTTTAAAGGGGTAAAAGATGTACTTGCTTCTTGCAGCGAGTACCGAAGCAGTATCAGTACCTGGTAAGAGGTGATGATATAATATGGAGTTCGGAATATTATTATCTACGCATGTCTACTTTGATCAATGCGAATCTTATCTTACCGTCGAATCATTTGATCGCCCTGTGACGCATGAAGAAGGTATCAGAGGACGAAAATCGTAGTACAATCAGCTGGCTCATGTCAGCTGGCGACCGAATTTCTTTGATAGGGAGATGTAGTCAATTGTAAAAAACAAGATTATACGCAAAAGAAATGAGTTTGGAAGAGACACCGTCGTTTGAGTTGCTTTGCCAGCGAAGGAAAACATGCAGATCGGAGGGATGAGGAGCCGGCAATCGGCTATGAATGCGCCGAGCCCAAGCCCGGGATCGACACTGCTATTAGACAGTGGCCTCCAGCGGGATCGGCAGCGGGCTACCGCAATACCAAATGAGTTGAGGTCGATGGCTTGCTGTAGTAGTTCCATTTAGAGGCGTCGCATCCAGGGGTCTCTGGATGTCTTGGCTATATTGAATCCATTGGTAGAAGCTTACAGTTAGTTGCAACTGAGCTGCAAGGAGAAGCGACTTGAGTGTTCCGGACACAGAAAGATTAATGACCAAAGTGAGCCATCTTAGCGGCCCAGAGTTGAGTTATGGTAACAGTAGTTCAGTGACCGCCGGTTGCCAGCACGTCTTCAATGTTGAGGTTGTTATAGCACATCCGGCTGGATATGTTGAAGTGGCTTATCTCAACAGAACTAGTTCTGCAGCGTGCCGTATTTGTTTGTCGCTGCAGTCTAGCTCTATGTGTTAATACCAATTCGTGATCCAAGTTGATCACAAAACAAGGATTAATTGGGAGAGTAGTTTAAGTGGGTGGCTAAGATCGTGATACATCATATGTGGGGTGCCCTGAAACGGGTTGAATCTATTTTCTTCCAACTGCCTCCTTGTGTAAGCAGGACTGGTCCTCGTAGGAGGTACAAAGCAAAAGGGAGAGACCATAAGGAGAAGAGTTGAAGAGTAGACCGTGGATTGCTATCGTCTTTTCCGTTTCGGAGTCACAAAGTGCTGGCTCTGTTTCGAAGATATGGGATATAATGCAGGGAGAGTATTAATGGACGGCAAACAGGCCCTCTCTCCTGTTGCTCGAAAGGCTCTACAGCCTGCTCCATGCATATTATGGAGAGGCTAGTAGGTATGGAGAAATTGTCATCTTGTGCCAAGCTAGGTAGTTATACGAAGCACACTCTGAGCTCTCCTTAGTGCGAACTTGCGCAGCCTTCAAATTCAGGGTCCGTGCTCCAGCTTCCTAGCCGGGGCCAAAGTAACCTAGTCCAGGGGCTAGCTGGAGACGGTCTTGAAGACTGAGGCTTCGAGTATGAACTACCTGCAGCATGTGCTTCGCCTTGAGTACTATGGGTGCCAAGTCGCTCGCGTGCCTGAGCGGTACCTGCATCTTGGTGGCCACAGAAGCTGTCTGTTACACCGGCCGGTGCTTGATTATCGTTGGGTATCCAGCTGGCATATGCGTAAGTAGAAGCTGCTTATGCTGAGACGAAATGCAGTTGCGGTGAGAGCTCCTCTCATGATCGATCAATCATAACACCTCCATACAGTACTGCTTGTAGCCGCATTGTACTTGTACTCCAAGGAGTCATCAGCCGCCGCTAGAAGGCCGATGAAGAGAGCCCGCCACTTGACGCGAGGCGCGCCTACCGCCCTAAACCGACCAGGGGTATCCCTGAATCCTGGATATTGGTGCAGATGGTCATCAAGGTTTCCCACCAAGGATGGCCGTTGGGAACTACAGACGGCATCTCTGCTTAGAGAAGCCCGGACTGGCTCAGAGGAGGCTAGATGATGCACACTCCATGGCCTATTGATCGCCCTCTCCTCATGGCACTCTGTTGCATACAGCATGTTGTATTGACGTGGCTGGCTGCAATTGCTCGTGTTCTGAGCGACGGACGGGATTGTAATGGTACTAGTGAGCTCCTGCTGCAGCTTACTCCGTACTTGTACATGTGCATACTACATGAAGCATGCAAGTCATGGAGCATCGATTATGGAGCTCGAGATTGGCTCTCGGATCAACTTTGTAGTCTGGGGTGGCTGTAGAATTGTTTGCCCGCGTACCTACTTCGTACAGCCTTGCTAGCACTTGGTTGGCTCAAGATCGCCAAACGCCATGCCGATGGATGCATGCTGCTGCGTTTCATCTTGCGGTACGTCCCTTGGGGGTCGTGTTTGAAGAATTTTCTTTCCTTTTGGCGCTTTAGCCTCATGTGAAGCGTCCGTGTTGTGACCTTGGCAGTAGCTCTAATCGGCTTAGTACTAGCATCCTAGGTAAGGTATGGGAGGCTTAAGCTTAGGGCCGGCAACGATTGTGATGTTTCGCTGGCGGACAAGAGATGCTGGTCGATTCGTGTTGGAGTGAGCATTTTGACTACTTGAGAGAGGAGGGTGTGGAAGGCGAAAGAAAGTTGTCTAGGTAGGTTCCTAAGATGGGCATCTACGAATGCGGCCAGCCTCAGGCAGCGCCAGTCAGTTTTTGCTTACTGCATCTGTACCTGTAGATCTGCCTGTCAAATGCCTACAACGGCAGGTACCCTGATCTGCACGGTAATCGTTAGAGAAAAGTCAAAATCACCTTCTCCCTTCTCTTAAACATGTGTAAAGTGCTTACTCCCTAGGCTCGAAAAGGCTCTTGTCAAATCTTCCCACACCTTCTAAGCCTCCGAATGATGATGACGGGAGCCTACTCGGCTGGCAGACACGTGGACTGTGCAGACTTGCAGGTCTAGGAGTGCTACAGTATCTGCACCGACTGGCATCCTCGGTGCAGAGCTCTTCGACGGCCAACAGAGAGCCGTACCTGCAGTTCTCTCTACTGCTGCGGGATGCCTGCCCCGTAGAGGCCTAAACTACTAGTGTCGTCCACTTCGCTCATCTTCGACGTGATCACTGCTTAAGAGTCGCCGGCCAATGGCGCACTCAGGCTTGAACGGACATCTGCCTGATACCACCACCAACTTAATACTACAGTACTACTAGTACTGACACTGGGTAAGGTACCTAATCTTCCAGATTACATGAAATACTTGGGCAGCAAGTGTAAGGCTAAGTAGCGCTATGGCGGTTCTCGCCGATGTAGAGAGTACTATCCCGCCCATGTGCTCGTCCGCGGCCCCTCAGGCAAAGCCCGACACGCAAATACAAGTTCCGGCCGGGCCAGAGCTATTATTACGGCTCGACGGGGTGGCTTGCTTCCGAACTTGCACGCTAGCCAAGGAGTACATGGTACCTTACAGGTTTTGCGTCGAGCGTACTCCGCACCCTGGTACTTGTGGCATCCATTTCGATTTCGATACGGAGTACAGGCGACTGCATATGCTGTAGGTAGGTATGCAATCAGGCCTGTACCCAGACGCTTGAAAAACGACGACAGCCAGTGATGCAGCGCTAAAGCCCGACATGCAAATGCTGCTGCCACTCCATTGGCCTGAGATACCTGCGGCTTGATACGAATCAACGGCATTTGCAGCCGTGCCTGCTTGCACGGAGCATCTTTGTACCCGTACTGGGTCGCGGTCGCAGACGCAAGTAGCGCTACCTGCAATTACCAGGCCCTTTTTCGCTTGTCGCTGGCTGGCTCCAGCAAGCGCCGGCGCAGATCGGTGCCAAACCGGCTGGCACCCCAAAATTCCCCCAGGCCTTAGCAGGCCTTAGCAGCCCACTGTGGTGCCCGTGCCTGTACCTGTACCTGCACTCCGTGCTACCTGGACGGGGCCCTGCGCGACCCTTTTTCCTCCCCTTTCGAAATCCCCTCGATTCCTCGCATTTCGCATTTCGCATTTCGCATCCTGCATTCTGCTCTGCATCGCGCAGCACCGCTCGAGCAGGCCGTTTTCTTGCTCTGCGAATGCATCCGTCCGCCGCGTCGACCAGAGCTGGCAGTCCAGTGCTGAGTTGAGTTGTGGTGTCTGAATCGCCTGCGGGACCTCGAGCATCCCAGAGAATAATCCTCGATCTCTGCCGTGCCAAAGGGGCTCACCAAACCCCCCCTCCCACTGCAAAACGCCTTTTCTTTCTGTCCAATCCCACGATCAACGCTCTGCGGCCCGCCAGCGCCCTTTTCCTCGTGCGTTTCCTCCCTTGAGCAGACCAAGGAGAAAAAAAAAGGTCCTTGCTTGTGTCTTGGTGCGTGCCTGTTTCACAGCCTTCCTTGGTTGCAGCGGCAGTGATGCCACTAACCAGCCAGACGTGCTCCATGGCCTGTCCTGCATGCCCTTACTAACTTTTTGGCAGCGACCAACGTGCCACGCGCCGTTCACCGACCAGGCTCTTGTGCCGAGACGAAAACAAGAAACACTTGGAGACTAGCACAGCAGGCGAAGATAATTCATAGCCGTCATAAGACTGGTGCAACCCGTTGAGGGGCTACCATTGCACGTCGCTGCTGCTGTTGAAGCACCCATCGCCGCATCTACGCTGAGAGTTCGAATCATTGATATGACATGGAGGGCTCATCACCTCCCCTGGCGGAATACTTCTGGATCGCCGGCATAGAGGCGGTGGTTTACGATGAGTCCTTACCATCAGTAAGCCACTCTGTCGAGACGACTACCATTGCCGAAGACGGAGAGCCTGAAGAGGAAGAGGATGCTGCTAGCAATCATACCAAGCCAAAGGCTGCTCGCCATTCTCGCCAGAACTCTGCCAGTCGCTTCTCTAGGCTTTCTCTGGACGGTCGAAATTCTGTCGATACCATCGAGGAGGATGACGGCAACACAAGAAGCAACAGGAGCAGTGCTACAATCAAGGCCAAGCCGGCCGCTGCTAATGGCAATGGCCTCCTTAATGGCGATGGCCTGATCCCGGGCGGTTCGATGGGCGAGTTCCTTGGCCTTATGGGGGACTTTGATTTCGACAAGGCTCTTCTGAAATTTGCTGCAGAGCGAGAAAATTTTCTGGAAGACCTTTCTTTCAGTGCTGGAGCCAAGACCCAGGCGCGCCAGCCCATGGTGAACCCTCGAGCCGAGCGCATTCGAGCCGATGACGCTGACCCCAGCGGAAGAGTCAGCCCCCTGAAGAGCATCAAAGGCAGCATCCGCCGCAAGATCAGCTTTAGAGATATGAACAGCCTGCGGAAGCAGCCCAGTGTTGCCAGGCCCATGTCACAGAGAGCTCGTGAGTGTGATCCCTCATCTCCTTCCCCTTGTATCGTAACGAGCTCGACGATCATCTAACCTGTCCTCACACTAGCTTCAATACGTACCACACGACGACTGAGCAACTACAACTCTGTGATCCCTCCTCCCGAACCTCTCAACACTGATCCCGACATGCATCCTCTCAAAAGACGATTTGAGCCTATGCTCCTCGATCGGTACCCTCCCAAGACTGCCATCGACGAAGTTGCTCGCCGAGGCAAGTTTCCCGACTACGTGCCCATGTTTGCTTTCCCCAACGACGTTCAAATCGTTTCGTCTGATGATCGGCCGCGAACGACGTGGCACGGATTCACCATGACGTCTGATGATAACTCTAAGCTCTATGGAATCGCACTCATTGTGTGGACAGCGCTGCCTGCCGATGTAGCAGAGGCTGTGGAGCACAAATGCGAGGATTGGCGACAGAGCCACATGTCCAATGAAGAGCGGGAGCTCGCAGCGAGCCTGGGAGTGCGTTTAGCCAGCGAGCGATCGCATTTGTCGCAGCTCTTATCCAAGCTTGGGACAATTCCCTCGGGAACCCCTGCTCGGGACAGGCTTGAGGATCAGATTGGAACTGTTGAGGAAAAGATCAGCCTCATGACGGATATGCTTAGACCGTTGAGACACGGTGCAGCTTCTAGAATTGAGGGTCTTACCACTGGCGAGAGTGGACTTTGGGCTCCGCGTGCTTATGGTATCCTGGGACGAGACCCCGCAAACATGGCTTTCTGGAAAGAATGGCTCAAGGCAATTGTCGTTCCCATGACCGATGGTGCCGTGCTCAGGATCCCCCCAAGTTCTCCCAAAGTAGGCCGATGGCAGCCTTTGGAGCAGTACGTCGTCAATCTGTGCACAGAAGCTTTTAGCCCCCTGGGCTCCAAGACTCAAGTTGAGATTGGTGTACGGGAGCTGCGGCTTTATGCTCGTAAAGAAGCAGCGAATGAGCTTCCCGGCTCTCGGACCATTGACATATACGCCTTGTTCAGATGTCTCTCTCTTGAGAACATAGTGGCTCTATTTGAATACGCCATGTCTGAATCTCGCATCATCTTCCTCTCCTCACACACCAGCATGCTGCACTTGGCTTGCCATGCTATTGCAAGTCTCTTGTACCCTCTGAAATGGGCAAGCATCTTTATCCCCATATTACCTGCCAGGCTGATCTCTGCTCTTGACGCGCCTTGCCCGTACATTGTCGGTGTTGAGCGCCGCTACGAGCGAATTGATCTTCCTGAAGATGACTACGTCCTGGTCGATCTTGACAAGGACACCATTGATGCCACGTCGCAGCCCAACCGCTTGCCGCGACAGCATCGCCGAAAGTTGATGTCATTGCTGCAGGTGGCGGCTCCTCACAAGCTACGTTATGGCGTGACGACTGGACCTCCTCCCTACGCAATGGAGGCCTTCCCATATGATTCTTTCTCATCGGAGAATGCATCCCTATTCACTAGCGTCGCCCCCCCCGCGACTCTCGGTAAATGGGTGTCTCAAAACTCATCCAGCTTTGCGGACCCTGATCCTCCTACTGACCTGCTGCCTCCGGCCTTTAACGGGTTTTCGCTGTCTTCGGTAGATAATGGCAAATCTGATCGGCCAGGAACCAGCAAGTCAACTTCAACCAGCCCTCAATCTTCCGTATCTCCAGTCTCGATGAAATTCCCTCCCATGCCGTCCACTCCAGTCTCACGTAGCGACTCAGGATTTGCCTTGACTGCAACACTCAGGGAGAAGCGATCGGGACATTTTGGAGAAGACAAGGGCCGACGAAGCTCGTCCTTTGGCGTCGACAAGGCTCAGCCCGTCCATCGACCCAGCCTTCCATTTTTGAATGGTCACCAGGCAAACCTATCTATCTCAACGCTAGATTCTGGATCCTCTTTCGGAGGAGGCTATGCTCCTTCGACATATGCGGCTTCAACTCTGGCGGCCTCGACTATTATGCCAAGCATGCAGGTTCAGCCAGTTAGTAACACTGATACAACGGTCTGGGTAGAGGGACATTGCTTCAACTGGAACCCTAAAGACACAGCTTCTGTGTGCACAATTTGCGAAGAAAGATCCGAAGGTGATGGATTTTACAAGTGTGGAGCGTGCAAAACTGTGGCCCACGGCCGATGCCTGGGCTTCGTATCCCTGGTTTGTACTGATGCTTTCCATGCAGACCGGGTCCGGGCAGCGTTTGTACGATGCCTCGCCAGCTTGCTGTATACATACCGCAAATACCTGGGCAAGCCGTCAAAGCAGCACAAGAACAGTGGTCAACTGTATTCCTTTGACATGGATGGATTCATCAAGAGTCTCCCTTACGATCAACAAGAATATGTCACGATGATGCGAGAGACTCAAGGTAAGCTTTGCAATTTATATTTCTTATTTTCTCTTCTTTTGACACTTATACTAACATCCCCTTTTTCTATTCAGCATTTAACGAATTCGTCCATGAAAGAGAAATGAAACTCACCTCTGACCCCGATATCCGACTCTTTGACGAAATCATCATGGCTAAGAAAGGCCGTGGCCGTACCGGCCTGCCATCCAGCTTGTCTCGTCTGTCCACTCTCCGTGGCGGCGGCGGTACCAACTCATGGGGCCTTAGCCCTTCAGGCCGCAGCAACACCGGTGGATCTGGCAGCGGCGCCAAGATTCCCCCTTATCTTGGCGATACCTCAGAGCACATATGGCGCACAGCCTCGGTGCCTCTACCAAAGGGCAACTTCCCTGGCGAGTACCACACCATTGTGACTCGCATGCCGGCTCGTCTGGACAGGTCGCTTATGCGTGAGCCCCGCGCTATTCAAGGAGTTCCTCGCATCGAGCCTCGTGGTCCCAAGGGAGTTGCTCGGAAGCAAGTCCCGAATATGCTAGGCGGCACACCTCAATAAGGAGCTTTCCTTTTTCTTTACAGATGACGAAAACCTGGCATTCAGAAAAGAAAAGAAAGTTGAAGAAGATGAAGGGGTAAAATTCAAATGTATAATAAAATCACTACGCATCGATGTAATCTATTGTCGAAATCGCAAACATACTCGCGGATGGGTCAGAGATAATTTTATTGTTAACAAAAAAAGACACTGGCATGCATGGACTCATTCCGGGTGAGGAGAGAGGCATACGACGGCATATAACCAATTTGGTTGGTTGACTGGTTGACCTAAATGGCGTGGGAAACTTGGTTTTTTTCTTTTTTTTGCTTTTTTAGAACACATTTCATTTTTGGCAGGGCAGCTCTTTGTTAATTGGACTATTTCGATTCTTCGTTTTTTTTTTAATTTCATACATGAATTTGTGTTTCGTCTGCATTTGATGTCTTTCCACCGCCCTTGACTTCAGGAGAGACCAGCCCATATATGAACAATAGCAAAGTTTGCTGGTGCATGATAGCTAAATAGATACAATAACAGTTCGGTCAGAGTGCTGCTCAGCGCATCTGAGAACAGCAACAAAAAAACAAAGCTCAGTGTTGAAATTCGAATAAGTCACCTCCAACTACGAAACACAATCTGTCGGCACGAGCCGCTGGACAAACTGGGGGCGGCGGGGTAAGGGCTGAACAAGCAATGAGGGTACAATCCGATAAGTTTTACTTTCCCACCTTGGCAGCATCTGTGATGGTATCCTCCCAGCCAATATTCTTCAAAATCTGACTCACCTGGCTTTGATAGGTCAGATGACCGCGAGGAAGGCTCTTCATTCTGTAATTTTCGACTCCATCTGCCCCCTGGATTTCCTGCAAGCCAGCGACACCGAACTGGATGTTGGCAGTTCGATAAAGAAATCCGAGCATGTAGTCGTGTTCTGAATAGACGTTGACCAAGCGTCCACATACAACACTCTTGAGCGTCAGCCACACGCGACTCTCTGACGGTGCTGGGCAGCCCATCATAACAACTGAGTCAATGACTCCAAACTGTCGGCGCTCCGCTAATACCATAAGGCATGTATATATGGCACGGGCTCCAAGGCCGTAACCAATCAATGAGACTGGCCTCTCTCCATGAAATTTTTGTCGCAAAATGGCATCAGCAAATACAGCCCCTGCCTTCTCCGCTCTGACTATCGCAACATTCCAAGGATTGTCCAAAATCTTGCTGACTTTGAGAAGTGAAATGGGCCAGGTGGCTTCCACAAGGCTTGAGAAAACTGGAAGAATACACTTAGTATCACTGTATAAAATATTGAAATAGTATGGAAAGCATATGCTTACTTGTGCGAGCTTTAATCTCTGCCTGGGCACTGCTCCAAGAACTGCTCTTTATAACAGTGTCAAGGGAGCTGCCAAGACTTGTGAGGGCTGCAGTTTCCCACCGCGTGACAAAAGTTTCGGTATAGCGACCCAGACATTGCCAAGTTTTTGTGATATCTTCATCCCCAATGACATATCCGCCTATAGCGATAGTAAGGCAAAGTCTTCGATGTTCCGCTGGGATGACTCGGGGGTCGCGGTATTCAGACGCATCCGTGCTATGAATGGGAATGAATGCAAAGTCGGTAACTTCCCGTGCGAAAGTTTCCATCATCTTGCCCAACGGCTTTAGAGTGTTAATGCCGAAAAGGCTGCCTATCGCGAGTGCATTGTCGGCCATTATGCCCAATAGACCTGCCGCTGTAAATTGAGTGAGTCCAAGACCACCGTGGGCCGCACCGATACCAACTGCGGCAAGAGGGGCAGCAAGTTTTCCCGAGTTGTTTCCCAATCCAAGCTTCCAGCGCCGTGAAGTCTTCGTCTCCTCACTCTTCAGTGCAATCGCATCTTCTTCAGAGAGGTTGAGAGCTGTCCTAGCCAGCCCGCGAGCAAGGCGTAGTTCTTCTTCTCGGTATACCCAAGGTGGGAGGTTCAAAGAAGTTGCGAGGCTCTGTATGAGGTGTCTTGCATTTGCTGTGTACTCTTGCATTGATAGCAGAATGAGAAACACAATATGCAACAATAGCCTACGTTTCTCCATATCTAGAGTCCATAGAGCGTTAGGAATCGGGGGAAACTGAGTAGCTAGGCTGCGGTCCGGATAATTGGACGGTGCTCGCGGTGGTCCTAAGCAATAATTAGCAAATGCTATCTAAAAAACAGAGTTGCGTGAAAGAAGGCTCATCAAACCTGTTGCCAGAGTCAGGGGGCTGCGCATCAAGCCGCCGCCACGACCACCTCCAACTCGCCCTCGAGGCATTCCTCTCATTCCACGTCCACGACCACGAATGCTTAGGTGAGGAGCTGGTTGATCACTGACGGCAATATCTCGAACCCGCTGCAACACTATCGTCTGCCATTTGCGGAAGAAGATCAAAGCCTCCTTCTTTAGCTCGCGCAGCTGCGGCGTCATGGCTTCCTTCTCCTCTTTCTCGATGATATCATGCGTCTTGTCAAATGGCTTTGAGGAACCAATTCGTTTTATACCCATAAGTGAATGGGATGTCGGTTTGTGCTGTTTCTGATGATGTAGAGAAAGCAGAAGCCAGTGGTGGTGGTGGTGATCATGGTCGCTTTGGAGTGGAGCAACTGGAGGGGAGTCAAAGATATTGCTAATATCTCTAGCCATTCTCTCCGTAATGGCATTGACTAGAGTTATCAAGTCATTCTTCTCGGCTATTGACAGAATGCCAGTTAAGTCGACTGGCCTGCGTTGGCCATGATTACTGCCTCCACGTCCTCGAGCCATGACGGGCGGTTTCTGACTTTTGGCGCTCAATCGTTTCAAGATAAGGGAATCCAGCCGAGATGCAGTGAGAAATGGTTTCTAGTTTATAAAAGGCCTGATGTCTTGATTAATTGGCGAACCAAAAAAGCAGACACCTCAGAGATCCGCTCTGTAAGTGATTGGGATTCAGTAGGCGAGAGGATGGTCACGGACAAATGATTTCTTGAGAAGTTGAATAACGAGCACCAAATATTGAGGCCAGCAACTGATAGAAGTCATCAGATGGAAAATGCTCTCTAGGGATGAAAGGAAGAGACGGAGAGGCTGGCCAAGCCCGGCCAGATGATTTGAAGCCGTAAAGGGAGATGGAGACAGAAGAGGTGCATCTCACTCTCGTCGATGTTGTGATGAAGAAAGTCGAAAACCAGCTTGGCGGATGAGAAATAAAGACAAAACTCCAATGTAGAGGGGGGAAATCGGAAAGGAAAGAGAATCTGAACAAAAAGTGAGGCAAGCAGAACCTGAAAAGAAGCGAAGAGAAGAGGAAGGCGCGTGGGTGAATTTGGGACTGACTGGCTGCCAGGTGGCTGCCAGTTTCCGACCCCAAAGCCAATGGCAGGAGTAAATGATGCGTGCACACCGGACATGGAAGGAACAGAGAAGAGATGAAAAACAAAACCAAAACACGGAAGGAAAAGAATCGTGGACGAGGCAGGCGCAAAAAAGAGTGTAAACGAAAACAGAGCATTTTCCTTTCTTTCTATGAGCGTTGTGATACAAAGGGCTTGAAAACAGACAGGCCTATGGGATATAAGATATGTGACCGGCAAATAAACACAGAAACAGGGATCTAGAACAGATACTTGGGGGCAAACAAAGGCAAACGTCACTTCATCACGTACGTTGAAAAAGATTCACCGAAAATATCGTCACACCAAAGGCGAGAAAAAAACTACAGAATACGCACTACTAGAAACTTCACTACTTCTCGCGGTAGGTACACAAAGCAGTGATGTAGCAGGAGAGGGAGAAGACAGGCTCTATCGAAACATCCACAGACAGACACAGTTAGAAATGGTGGACAAAATTAGAGGTCACAAGGCCTCAGTAATAAAAAGGCGGAACTCAGTGCTCCCAAAACTACAGTTGCAGCGGCGGTGTGAGCCGTGCCGTCTATTGCATGTTGGAAGCCGTCTCCTGATTCCAGTTCGTTTGTGGATTGCCTGATAAAAGATAAAGCTAATCACAAGTTGGCGATGCGGTAACTAGATACTGGGCAAAGAAAGACATGCAATTATTGGCATGCTCAATGAGGGGCAAGGAAGTTCTGACATCTGCTAGAGTGAAGCAATATAGGAAATGAGAAGCTCTGAGGGCTAGAGCATCCCAAGCGGTGTGTCAAAGCAGAGCTATAAAAAGCGCGGATGCATCCCCAGCACAGAGAAGGCGGCAAGACGTGCGATGGACAGCGGGACAAACAAGCTACCCTGTCCCTTTCTACTTTGTTCATACGGCTATGTACAGCGTCTTTGATGGAGCTTCATCGTCTCTAACGAACAAACAAAACTCTGTTTGCCGGCCAGAGCACCGATTCACGATCCAAGCTGTCCTTGACAATGTATCGTTTGAACATGCATGGCCATGACTTTGTCTACAAACATCCTCTGGGCCGAGCGTGGCAAGGCGATGACACGGCAATCATAGATTAGCTTGACAACGGAGCGTCGGGTTGTGATACAGGTTTGTAACACGAACAAGCTGCATGTCCACCCACAAACATGGTTGGGACGGCTCTTATCCCGGCGCACTTCAGTTTGTTTACTGGATTACGGGATTGGCTACCGATACAGCTTCGTAGTATCAGTCTATGGAGTTTGGTGAATGGCGCCATTCTATGTTGCTACCGTTGTGTTTAAATAAGCTGGCTATAGAGCGGTCTATTTCTACTATTATTCACTCTCCTATTCCCCCTATTTTCCTTCTCTTCTTCGTCAATAACTGTCCATCCAACCACGGCAGTCACAGTCAATCAGGTGTTTTGAAAATTGTTCCTCCTATTGGCTTCCTTGGTATTCCACAAAGTAGTCGCTTGTACGACATGGCTCAAGCCGCCTTATTCACAAAGCTATCCTTTGGTGTGCGGGTTGCGCAGAAATCGCAATCAACATGTGCCCCCCGGAAGACGCACAGAGCACAAGAGCACACCACTGGGCAGCGGGATCCGGCTCCGCGTCATATCGTCATACAGAAACGCGATACAACAAAGCAGACTATTGCTGCTTGCGAGGCGCCCAGTGCGGATATTGAGGCGTGGGCCGATAATGTCAAAAGTAATTTCTCTTGATGAGGCTGGCAGCAAGACAAGATAAACTCATTCGCCCATCTCATGATACCTCACATGAGCGGGCAGCGCAAACAAAGGTATAGAGTGGCCGCAGGTAACGCATATGGAACTATCCGAGGCCTCCCAAGATATGTCAGAATCCAAATCTTCAGATACATCGTCCTCCATTTCGTCTTTCGCAAGTTTCTCATCGTCGTCAGCCGCGTCAGACGTAATCCTCCATGGAGCAAGTACTTCGTCCTGCTTCTTGAACATGACTGCAATGTCTCGTCCCGCTCCCGTCTTGTCATCAGTAGCTCCAGCAACCATGTTTGCTGCGCAGATGTTAATGAGCTGCAAATTCCACGTCTGACCCTTTTCACTCTGTAAGCGGCGGAGTAATGGCAATAGCGCTTCTGCGACTAGCTGCTGAGCAAGCTCGTCAATGTCAGCTTTTAGGTCAAAGATAAAACTCGGTAGCGGTCCTGACCGAGACACACGACTGAAATCTCGAGTCTGGGAGGCATCCGACTTCGGCCATGATCGAGTTGAGAGTCGGAGGGTCCTTGGTCTTGCAATCCACTTTTGGCCGCCTGGTATGTCTGAACCGTGGTCTAGGATAGTAAGATCTACTCTCATTCTCCGAATCAGAGAACACGACAGCTTATGAAGCTCTTCTGTGATTCGGGGTATCGTTTGAAGACCACCGTAGGTGTCTTCGATACTGATTTGTGAAGGGACGTCGTTTGCTTCCTTGACTTCTGTAGGATCCACACCGTGAAGAAACCCCCAGACTCGAGATCCAATGCCTCTTTCCGCGCCAGGGCCACCTAGAAGTACCTCAAGAAAGGACGGGGATACAGTCGGATGGAGACGAGCTTCTCGTGCCGTTACGTGAGAATCAAAGGGGCCAGTGTCTTCAAGCTCCTTGGACATGATGTGTGATTCAAGCACGTGTGTGATTTTGGAGCCCATTCCTGCAATATTGCGCAGCTTGTGCCCATCCACAAAGCTCACGATATCGTCATCGGTCAAAGCAAGCAGCGTTGTCTGATTCCTCGGCTTGTTCTTGCTGCCAACAAGTTTGCTCAGAAGCTTATTTGTAGAGATGCCACAAGTCGATGTGTAACCAAAGTCTTGCTCTAGCTTTAGTCGCAGGTATTGGGCAAAGTGGGAGCCCAAGAGGTGCCTCAAATATATAGGGCTCTCCAAATCCAAGTCCTCGACAGTGGCACCAACAACACAGCCTGCAATGGAGGTCAAGTCGCATGGAAAGCCTACTTCAGGGTCCTTGTTGGATAGATAAAAGAACGACTCGGTCATTGAAGTTCGATTGAGACACGACATGTTGTAGTCGATAATATCCGTCACATCTACGGAGCGTGTTAGCAAGTATTTACTGTCACTCCATTGACCTTGGACGCACCCAAGAAGACTTCATCAAAGCCCAGCCGTTCCGCCTTGCCATTCCAAGAGTGAGATCTCAGGAAATTGAACAGAGTTTTGCTCACATCGCGGAACGGCGTCAAATCCTCGCCATCTACAAGAACGAGATCGGGACAAATCTTCTTTGCCTCCGTGATGAGCATGAGCTTCTTGACATTGCGGCGACGCGCATTGTAGTTGCAGGTGGCCAAGATGTTCTTCTGCTTAATGCCGAGCGGCTTTGACCTCAGCGCCGGGTTTCTGTTCTCAAAGACTTGCGCGTAGAAGCAGTCATAGTCCTGTACATTTGTTTAGTACTTCGTATTGCAAAATGAGGGAACATGTCGCATCACGACGGGCGTTGAGACGGTGAGACGGACAAACTGCAGAATGATTCGGTCTTCTTTGCGTTTTGGCGGCCTTTTCACCACCTTGCCGTCCATATTTCCCGCGGCATCTTCCCTGCGATGTTGGCTCGCAACCCACGGCCGGCTGAGGGCTGAAGCGGCGCCTTATTGGTGCTGCAAGAAAGGCTGTTGGCTATATTGACATTGTAGAACAATGCAGAGGCGCAAGGCATTTGTCAACGCCATTTGGTGAATTGCCGTGAATTGGCCCACCAGACGCACCCATGCCAGGGTTCTACGCCAATCAGAGGCCACAAGCGGCGCCTTCATAGCGGGCTTCAGTGCTCCTCCGCCGTTAAAAGGGCGCTGTAGCACCGCTGTCAGCCGCTAGATTCCAAACCAAGATCGCCGGTGCCGGCCACGCTGCTTGCCCCTCCATCACTAAAAGTCCAGAACCCAGTTGGTGGGGTCGCATTCATTCGAGTCACAACTCCAAGATTCTCGGCTCTTATATCTGGCCATTGATTGTTTGCAGACTCGTCCTCCACATATGCAGACACTCGGACACAGGCGCTTTGAGATTCTCAGTCTGAGGCACAGCGTTCTTCTCCCATAGACAACCCTCTAATCTCTTCTTCTTCGTTTCTTTCCTTCACATCCTTACGATGGCACATGTGGTAAGCTAGCCAGTCAACTTTTTTTTCTTCTCCCCATATAAGAGCTGTCAAAGTCCTTCCCTTTGCCCACATTTCGTCGCTCTGCCATGTGCTAGTATGGCCATCATTCCTTACCATGATTACAGAGAAGCATCGTCCCGTCACTTGACGCTGTCAAGGACCTTCTGAACAAGCCCACCAAGGACGGCGCAAAGAAGCCGACGCTCGTGCCCGTCTATCGCCAAATCACCTCCGACCTCATCACTCCCTCTGCCGCCTACCTCAAAGTCTCGGCGCATGCCAAATCCACGTCCTCCGCCTCCTCCACATACTCATTTCTGTTCGAATCAGCAGCCACCGAGCAGGTCGGCCGATACAGCTTCGTCGGCGCCGGCCCGCGCAAGATCCTGACGACCGGTCCTGGCTACGGCGAAGAGAAGGACCCGTTGCCTGCGCTCGAGGCGGAATTGGCGAACCACGTCGTTGCGCATGTGCCGGGACTGAGACTGCCTCCTCTGACAGGAGGAGCCATCGGCTATGTCGGCTACGATTGCGTGCGATACTTTGAGCCCAAGACTGCGCGGCCGATGAAGGACGTGTTGAAGATTCCCGAGTCTTTGTTCATGTTATACGATACGATTGTCGCTTTTGACAGGTTTTACGGTGTCATTAAGGTCATTAGCTACGTCAAGGTTCCCACGGATGGACAGACAAACTTGGAAGCAGCATACGACGAGGCGAAGAAGACCATTGACGAGCTGGTCAACGTTCTCAACAGCCCCGAGATTCCCCTGCCGGAGCAGGGTCCCATCGAGCTGGGCCAAGAGTACAAGTCCAATATTGGCCGCGAAGGCTACGAGGCCCACGTTACCAAGTTAAAAGAGCACATTGTCATTGGCGACATCATCCAAGCCGTGCCCTCGCAGCGTTTCGCTCGTCCTACCAACCTACACCCGTTCAACATCTATAGACACCTGCGAACCGTCAACCCGTCGCCGTATTTGTTTTACATTGACTGCCAGGACTTCCAGATTGTCGGCGCATCACCCGAGTTGCTAGTCAAGTCGGAAGCCGGCCGAATCATCACCCACCCCATCGCCGGAACGGTCAAGAGAGGCCCGACGCCAGAGGATGATGAACGCCTGGCCAACGAGCTGCGCTCTTCGCTCAAAGACCGAGCCGAGCACGTCATGCTCGTCGATCTCGCCCGCAACGATGTCAACCGTGTGGGCGATCCATTCACCGTCCGCGTCGACCGCCTCATGGTGGTGGAAAAGTTCAGCCACGTGCAGCACCTCGTCTCCCAAGTCTCCGGTGTCCTGCGCCCAGACCAGACCCGATTCGACGCTTTCCGATCAATTTTCCCGGCCGGCACCGTGTCCGGAGCGCCAAAGGTTCGCGCGATGGAGCTCATCGCCGAGTTGGAGCAGGAGAAGCGCGGCGTGTATGCCGGTGCGGTTGGATATTTTGGTTACGGAGGAGTGGACGAGAACGGCGAGGATGTTGAGGGCGCAATGGACACTTGTATCGCTCTGCGGACCATGATGACGAAGGATGGTGTGGCGTATCTCCAAGCTGGTATGTCTGAGCTACGTTCATGCTAGGAACTGGTCCAAGAAAAGCTAACGTTGATTATCTAGGTGGCGGCATTGTATTCGACTCTGACGAGTACGAGGAGTGGCAGGAAACCATTAACAAGCTGGGTGCCAACATGCAGTGCATCACTTCAGCGGAGGAAATTTACTATGACCAGCAACAATCCGCAAAAAAGGCATAAACTAAAAAGAAACTTAAAAAAAAATGAAAAGCCAAGAAAAAAAAGGGGGAGATTAGGAAGGCAGGAAAACATTTTTGAACATATATCCACCCAAGGAGCATTATGAACTATAGTCTACCTGGGTGTAATGGGGACTTGACAATGTCCACTTCTACGGCTAGGTATTGAATAAAGACTATTCATCACATAAGACATTTGTTTTTGATAGAGTGAAAGAATTGTGTATGGCTGATCAAAGCCCAGTAGTATTGATATATCCAAGAAACTAATTAAAAAAAAGTTGGTATAATATCCTTGAAAGATGACCCCTCCTCATCACCGTAATCTCGTGTTTCCCATCTCAAATTTTACAGTTCGTAACAACTTTCATTTCTCATAAAATGCAACCCGATTGTGTTCGCTTTGCTTTGCTTTGCTTGCTTTCCCAATGAAAATGCTACTTCCAAAGAGAAGGATGAAAAAGTAAAAACTCCCTGCCCTATGCCTTTGCTTCACCAACCCTATTGCCATGTCTCCTTATATCCAACAGAGACTTTGGCTATAAATACATGAAAGATTTTTTTTTTTTTTTTTTTTTTTTTTTTTTTTTTGTGCTTTTGGCAAAACACCCTTTGATGAAATCTATTCATCAACAAGGGGTAAGCCTAGCTCACGCTTACGGATGCGTCCTGCGCCTCAGCTAGCTCTGGGATAGGCGTATCCCGCTTCCGCTTATTGCACTGCGACTGCGCCCTGGGCTCCGTCGGCGTCTTCATGTCGAGATCATATCCCAGGGAGGCCCCCGAGAAGGCCTGGAAATCTTCCGAAATGACGCTGCTAGCGTCGGACATGTCAATGTCAATGGCCGAATCGGAACTGCTCTCGATGCTCGCCGTCGGTGTGTCAGGCACCATCTGGATGTCGGGCACCTCCACCGCGGCCCTGGGCACAGCCTCATCGTCGTGACGGTTGCTGCTGGGCATCTTGGCCCCGGCCCTTGTAGAGGTAGCTGCCTCAGCCCTCGAAGCAGCGATTGCGCCGCCGACGCGTTCGTCATCTTCCTCTTCCTCGTCTGCCACGCCAATCGTCCAGACCCACTGGCGTTTTTTCTCCTTGCGCTTGCGCTTGCGGATGCCTCCGTTGCTGCTGCTGCTGCTGCCGCCGGGCGTTGTCGAGGGCGAAGACGTTGCACTGCCACTCAAAGCCGCAAGCTTGCGTCGCATGTCCTCAAAGGGGCCTGGCGTCTGGCCCCCATTTTCGATTTCGTTGGGCGAGAAGGCCTGCTTCAGGTCGATTCCCCTGTCGGCTCCGATGGGCGAAAACGACGGCGAGGCAGGTGAAGCCTCCTCGACGAGAAGATCGATATGTGACTTGGTGTACTTGTTGGTGATGATGGTCTGAGTGAGAGGGTTGTTGTAGCCCACTCGCTTGGCGGCTCTTTCTTGCAATCTCAAGGACTGCCGCCTTGGTGAAGGGGGAATGGCCGTCCTAGGAGGAAGAGGAGAGTTTCGCAGGATGCTGTGGAGAGTGTGAGGGTGCGTATAAGGTGCCGGAGCCCCAGTGTTGAACGGGATGATATGCCGTCTAGAAAGAAGAGGCTCGACAGGAGAGCAGGGAGAGGCCACAGTATATCCCCTGGCTCTAGAAGAGAGATCCTTGGGTGAAAAGGAAAAGGCTTTGGGTCCGTTGGAATCAACGGCGCCAGCAGACATGGGAGGTGTTGGCGTCATGGTGCTAGGAAAGGCAATCTCCATCTGCTGCGGCGGTGAGCCTGATGTATCCGTGGTGGGTGTCGCTGGAAAGTCGGCGACATACGGAGTCTTGATCGGAGTCTTGAGCTTCAGCTTGGGGCCTCGGGACACAACTGGTGTCTTCAATGATAGGCACTGTAGCGTGTTGATTGCTGTGAGGGGCTCTGGTTGGACTGGCGTAGATCTCTCGATGGCGGTTGCATAGACGTTAGACAAGGTGTTGCAAGCGGTGCGGTCGGTAGGGTCGACTTGGAAGCCTCTTGTCGGCCTGCTGGGGACGGAGGGGACGGAGGGGACGGAGGGGCTGGAGGTGTTGATCTTGAGCGACAGGCGCGGCCTCTTGGGCGGGCTGTGGTGCAGTGGCTGAGACGCCATCATGATGGAAGTTGTGATGTTCGATGCCGTATATAATGACGCAGTATCAAGAAGAGAGATGGGAGTTATAGATATGATGTCGAGATGTCGAAAGGTGAAAGAGGTGGAGTGGGGTGAGATGAGTCGGGGGTGAGATGAGTCGACGTTGAAAGAGAAGACGACCTTGGCGTAAAGGAGGCGATATCCAGACACACTCTCCGTCAAGCGATCGACCCAACACGAAATCGATCAACAGCCCCAGTCGTAATTATCCGAAAGAACGCTTGGTGGTTGCGTGCTTCGTATCGGTGGATGTTAATATAAGCTTTGTGCTGTGTTGTGCTGTGCTTTGCTTTGCTGTGGACTAATTTAATGAACAGAGTTATAAGACGAGAAAGCCAGCCAACAAAGAAAACACAAAACAAGGTTCCGAGTACGAGTTTTATCTACCCCCGTACCAGAATCAGAAATGCCGCAGAACCAAGTTCCAACAGCGCAGACAAGGCGGGATCCTCGGCGGCTATATACAGGTGACGACGAAACAACCGCGCATGTTTTGCATCGTCCACGGCGCTCCCATGGCCAGGCTTCTCCGCACTTGTCGCCCAGCTTCCTTTCCTTCTTCTTCTCCTTTTTCCCATTTTGCGCCACCGCCATGAAGTGGACCCCGCCTTTGTTCAGCTCCTGTTATTCTCTCTCTACAGTACTACTGACTGTATCTCTCTTTTCCCCCTCCGGATAGGCGCGAGGGGCGACCAAAGGCGCAACGGCACGGGAAGCGGAGACGTCGAGAGGGCCACGCCTGGTGGAGGGTCGAGCGCGGCCGTGAGTGGCTCGTGTTGCTATTTCGAGCCTGCGGGTAAGCGCTGAGCTTCGACCCCTGCTGCGGTGCCCTGAGGCCAATGGTCCGCGCCTAAGCTTCGGATGCTGTAGCGCAGCGAACCGGCCTCTGGCTGCACGGCCATCGCTGCTGTCACACGCCGCGCTGCCAATGAGCGAGTCGTTTTGCGAGGCGCTACAGCAGCCGTCGGCAATCGCAGAGCGCCTGTCACAATGTGGCGTCGAGAGAAGCCGTTGCCTTGTCGCCGGTGGAAGATACGTAGAGACCTCCACGATTTGCAGGCGTGCTGTGCCCTTGCCGCAAAATCGACTTTTCAACTTGAGATTTCATCTTCGCCACATCGTGTTTGCCACGAGCCTCTCGCCCCTCCCGGGAATAGGCCGCATCGTATCGTTGCTCAGCATCGAGTGACAAACAGGGGACCAAAAACACTAAATATACGGAGTAGAATGCAAATTTAAAACTCCACGCAATGATGTCCCTGGCCCTGGAAATGTGATTATTGTGGAGGCGCCGAGGCACACGTTGCGGAAAATTAGACGGGCCGGTGCACCAATGGCGGCCGTCTAGTGTCTCCGCCTAGTGGGTCAAGGGCCATTTTGGGCACGGGCACGCAGGTACTTTGTCGGCACCGAATGGAAGAATTCCTGATATGGGGGGCGTGTTGGACCTCATGACATGAAGACGTTTGTTGGATTTGATAGAGCAGTTGAACAGAAATTTCCTAATGTTCAACGGAAATTAATTTTAATTCGTCAATCTCAACTTTGATTACTTCTTTGTTGGCGATCAAGTAACTCGCAACCCGTTCTTCATCTGTACCGCCAATGCAGAGACGTCTACATAGAACATGTAAGCCATCAGTTATAGCCTCACGTACCCGTAGGACCATCCCATACCCAGGAGAAAATCCTCCACAAAATGCTTCGTTGACATCCCCTTCAAATCTGTGCAGCAGATTGCAATCTGCCGGGATGTGACCCTGTCAAAGATTCCAGAAGAAAAAGAATGCACACGTCTCATCGCATGAGCCACTCACTGACTCGTGGGGCAATATCCGGAAAGGTTCAAGAGCTACTACTGTAGGATGAGGCCAAATAAGATTATACTAGGCTACGTACTGCTACTACGCGGCACTTGAGCTAGAATCATACCAGGGTACGCAAAAACTTGTTTCAAGACGTAAATAGCAACATCTTGCTGATTACACTCATCTCTTACTACTGTACTACGTGGTAAGAACCCCGGTGTGGAGAGCCAAACGGGAATACCTCGTATGACCCCATATATGAGCCCATCTTGCATGGTACAGTCGAGAAATACTGCCACATAACAAGTCTAGGTAGGAACCTATCAAGTTAGTCGATGACATACATGTTGTATTAGCACTTGCTCAACTAATATGATGTCATTTGAGAGCAGAATAGACATCCTTTCTTACCCAGACTCATGGCTACTCAGTCTATATTGCCTTTGGACAGATCAGATCTCTAAATATACTAAGCTCTTAATAACATATAGATTAATGTAACAACAAGCCCCAATGAACAGAATATGTAAGCTGCACATACATATACTTTCTATAAACCAACCTCCCAAACCCCCGTCTAAGCACTACCGCAAATAAGATCGCCATCTACAGAAAAGACAAACAAAACTCAAACTGAGACAATCCCTTCAACGGCCGCATATCTATTTCCATAGTCAGATACGTGCGAAAGCAGATATTCAGGCACAGATGCTGCATCATCTACTGATCAACATTGTGCACCGGGAGAGAGAGACAGTCAGCACGGCCACATGGGAGATCTGATCCCCAAAACTGCCAAAATAAGCCCACCTATGCTTAGGCATCATCCCCTTTGATGAAAAATAATTTTAAAAACCTACCTACCTACCTACCTACCTAGTACCCGGATTACTAGGTCCATCTCAATCAAGAAGGAAACAAAGAAAATAGCCTTCTAGCACAGACCAAATGATGACACATTCCCCAACATCTACTAATACCAAGTACTATAAAAAAAGCACGTCAAAGAGATCCGTGAGAACCCTGCCTCGCTGTCAGCAGATGCCCCAGAAGGGCTACTTACTGATCAATGCTTGCTGTCCAAGTGCTTCATCTTCAAATTAATCACTGTATGTACATGTTAGGCAAGAAACATCGCCAGTTTCTTTCTTACCCCAAGAGTAGCGCTGGAGCCAAGCAATAGCTAGGTGCTATGTACTACGATTTCTATTTATGGTGGGTGACAGCACAAAGCAATTTAATTCTGTGGAGTAATACGGTCCAAGTCTGCAAGGAAAAACAAGCCTGGAGAACATTGCTCTTGAACGAGCGGTGGGCGAAGAGCTCGACCCCCTTGACGCTATTTTCTCACCTGCACACAGGCTAACCCCCTTTATTTTCACTTCTTCTAAATCCAACTATCGCTACTACTACTACTACTATTACAAGAATAGCTATTCACACGCACATGGCAATAAATAGCGAGCTTCTTCAATGATATCTCCCGATCCCCGCGATTTCGGAATCCGGCGTCCAGGCCCCTGGAGAACTCTCCAGCCATAATGCCAAGGTGGTCTCAACACGACCTAGCAAAGCGTCTCTCTGCCTGAATATAGATCATCCTTGTCGACCGCAGCAAGATCCCTCAGGCTCGTCAGCCATGGACGGGCTTTGTATGTGTAATCCTCCCAGGCTAGCCCTTCAGCGACCCTCTTGATCGTTGATATAGCCTCACCGCATCATGCTCCCCATGCGCCAGATTAGTCTTCTTCCCCGTCTGGCCAGCTCATTCCACACAGCCCTATAAATACTCTTTCATGCCTCGTCGTCACGTCCGGCATCTTAGTCAGGTTAGTATTCATGCCCCTTTTCCGTCCATAGTAGCTGTCGCTCTTGCGTCATCCAGGCCTTTTCTTTGTCGTTGGTTTTATTCTCCTGCCTAAGCAGCGATCCCAAAAAATAAGACAAAAATAAGCCAAAGCACTTAGTCTTGTAATGTAACGTTAACTTTGGCGCAGCAATCTCCTCAGACCAGGTGGGATAATCTTTTTCTTTCTCTCTCTTTCTCTCTCTCTCTCTCTCAGCATAGAGTATCGGTACAGTGTGCTCTGTTTCGGCCTTGGTAGGCTTTTCAAGTGGAACGTATTAGTCGAGATTTTGCATAGCCCAGCTTTTTGCTTCAAGCAGCGTGGATTATCCCTTGAGACTCAAGTAGCCGCCCCAGGTCTCCAAGCTTTACAGGCTTGGTTAAGAACATGTCCATTCCGCTACCAAAAGCTTCCTGCTGGGCGTCTTCCGTTGTCAAGCCTGAGAGTGCAATAATTGGCACTGGTGTTAGTCCCTTTTGGGTTTCGTGAGCTCTAATGTGTCTCGTGGCCTCAAAACCATCCATAATAGGCATAGATATGTCCATTAAGATGCAGGCATATGGTGTGTCAGAACTTGAAAGAAAGAGATCCACTGCCTCCTGGCCGTTCTTTGCGGCGTCAAATCCAATGTTACGCCTCGTGATGTAAGTAGACAATACTTTCAAATTGATGAAATTGTCATCAACGAGCAGGATTCTGATCGGTGGTGTCTTAGGCTCATTAGTAGACACTGCAGGTACTTGGACCGTTGCGCTGAGTGGTGCTGACGGATTGCCACTGTTTGCCCATACTGGTCTGTCGACTCGAGATACTGTACTAGCTGATCGACTTAGAGAGGGCCCGCCAACATTGTTGGCAGAGAACGCACTTGGCATTCTCTTGGGTCCCTTTGGTCGCTTGGCTACCATTGGTGCTGAGGTGGCCGCTGCTGGTGAGTTGGAATTGCTCGTCCATCGCATATATGCCGAATGTAGCGTTCTGGCAAGTTTACGCGGTCCAGTTCTATTGATTGCAACGTATCAGCAAGAGTCATCTGTGTAACAGTTTTTGAAATAAAGAAATTGGCAAACTCACGGTTGTGATATAAATTCAAAGACAGCAGCAGAGTCGGCCTTCTTGAACGCATGCGACTGGCGATAGGCCACCAATGCATTTGAGCACACGACTACATTAGGCGTCTTGGAAAATGTTTGAAGATCTTCCTGTACTGGTTTCAAGTCCATATAAGACCACATGACAAGATCTGGCGTTACAGCTGTATCGGGAGTATTGGAAATAATATCCATGTGCAGCCACTCACGGCAGATGTCGACCACAGCCTTTCGCCATTCGGAATTCGTCATTAGAAGCCTCACTCGCAGCCCTTTGAGATCTTCAACTTGTTCTTTGAAAACTTTGTCTTCCTCGGAGATTATAGGAGCCGTGCCTAAAGACAGGGGCAATTGCTGCAGCGGGAGTGTGACTGAGGCTATTGTTCCAACGCCAACTTCACTCTGAATCGAGATATCGCCTTGTAGATGTGTGGTAATCTGCTTCACAAGGCTGAGTCCTAGCCCAGCGCCTGGTGATAAGGGATCCTCCTGAGAAAAGGGGCGAAAGAGCCCGTGTTTGAGAAAATCGGCACTGATACCCTTGCCGGTATCTTGTACTGTGAACCGAACAACGCGTTCCTTCTTCCGGCTTCGGGTACGGATCATTTCTTGCGTAAGTGATACCGTGATCGTGCCGCGCTTGGTATGCTTCAGTGCGTTGCCGAAAATGTTCATGACTATTCGACGGATGGCTCCGACATTGGCGATATAACCCCAGTTGCATCTCACATCCATTGAGAGTATTATCAGTACGTCATCGAAAGACCATTTCAGCTCCCCATTATTGGTCATCCAAGGCTCGAGTTGGTCTATGGCTTGCAACGAGTCCGACTGATGGTTAGCATTCACATCACTGTTGATTGAGCCGTTCTGTCGATCCGACAGCTGTTTCACAGATAGGTGTAAGAAATTGAACCCGGCAAAGACACTCTCAACTACTTCCTCCACGATATGATCAAGTCGCGAGTCTCTCAGCAAAGACTTCTTCCCAAACTGCCCTAATTCGAGACCATTCGATGATAGACTAGGAGCCCTATCGTCTCGGCCAGAGAAGTGGCTAATCCTAGAATATTCAAGGAGGTGGTCTACGGTGTCAAGAAGTGTACGGGAGCAAGTTTCAATGGTGTGGGCAACATTCCCCTGGAAAATGTCGAGCTTAGTATCAATCAGTAATTCCGAGTTGAGCAAGATGCCGTGTAGTGGAGAGCGTAGTTCGTGCGAGAGTGAGCCCAGAGCATCGGTTTTTGCTTTATCGGCTCGCAAATCCTTGAACCGCAGGATTTCAGACATGGCAAGCATTCCAAAAGCCCTCAGGTAGCTCAATTCTTGTTCAATAGAAAAGCTTCGGGCCAAGTCCTTGGTGTAGATGAATCCGCCAGCATACCATCGATCTTTTCTCGGATCCCACAGGGGGACGAAGCAAACACTCCGAGCGCCAGGGAATGCTTTGAGAAGAGCCTCTCCCTCGCGCTGTCTTGCCGAAGATCTCGTCTGTGATTTATCTTGCAGAGATATTAAACTAATCCTGGAGTCGGATGTAAGCAGCGGCGAATACACCGCCGACGGCTCAGGAGACGGGAATAGCTGTTCGTCTTCCGATGAGTCTGATTGCAGCTCCCCATCAGCTCCAAAGTTGAAAATTTGGCCCTTAGGATACCGGCGAATAAGTTTAGACAAGAAGCTGTCTGTCAGCGTTATGCGAGGTTGACCTGGAGCGTCTCCATCGATGCTCGATGCTCTGGACGTAGCGTAGCCAATGAGCCTAGATACCGGCATGGCCCTACTTCGACGTCTCATTTCAAGGTCTTCTTCGCTGCTACTCGCTGTAGATGTCTGGCATTCTTCGTCGTTTGTAATGTTGGTGTGCGTCTGAGACAGGTATGGCTGAATTGGAGCTTCAAAAACAAGGCAGCCTTCCACCTCGATTGACTCTCGGATAAGATTGGCAGCCTTGGATATAATGAGCACGGAACTTTCGTCCTCTGTCAAGGCAGCCATGGCTTTGGCTTCAGAGAGCATGGCCTCTGAGCTATCGACGGAGAATGTACGCTGATCGTGTTCAGAGATTGCGTCAATCGGGTTTGTCGTACCGTTCGGGTCCGGCAATTGAGACATTGGCGATAGTTGGGTTGCAAGATCATCTCCAAAATCGTCTCGCTGCTGCTGCTGCTGTTGCTGTTGCTGCTGTTGCTGTTGCTGCTGTTGCTGCTGGGAAGACCGCATGAAATTAGGGCTGTTTGCAAGCGTCTGGCATCCCCCTTCAGTAGGAGGGCCTGTTGTAGGCTGTTGCCAGTCAAGTATAGATGATTTGCCTTCAATAAATGACCCCAAGCCCCTGTTCATTCGTATGTCTCGCCTATGCAAAACCTTTAACCTCTGCGCCTCGAGATGGTCCATGATTGCACAGGATATATCTCGTAACCGCTGGGAGTGGCCATCATTCCAAGTCAAATTTGGTGCTTCGTTGATGACACAATATACACCGATATTGATACCACGTCGAGTTCGTATCGGGACAGCAGCATAGAATCGAGCCAAGGTGCCTGGCTGGCAAAACGGCTTGGCACAAAATCGAGAGTCAACGACGAGGTCGTAGGCCAAGGTCAGGGGGAGCTCCCTTGCCGATTCCCCATTGGCAGCCTCCCCGAGGAGACTGAGCTCGCAAACTCCATGACTGCGAGGAATAGCGGTGCCGCATAGCCAGAGGGGGCGTTCGCAGTCGTCGCTCTTGATCGATGGACACAGGCGCTGGGTGGGCGTTGCTTCGGCCACGATACACTGGCGGTGGGCGTCGAACAGGGAGATGAGGGACCTATCGGTGCCGGTCTGGAGGGCACCCAGTTGGGCGAGGCCCGTCAGGATCACGTCGTCGGCAGCCGAGAGCTCAGATGAGGGAATCGGCCGGCCAGTCTCGTTCAGCCTGATGGAGCTGAGCAGAGACGCCGAATATCTGCCACAGGGCACGGGTTAACAGCTGGTTGGGCGACATGAGGCGAGGCCGGCATGTCCATCAGGCTACACATGGAAGAGAGAAGAAAAGAAAAGAAGAAAAAAAAAAGAAGCCTCTTACTCAAACGTCTCCCGCTCTCTGGCAGACTCGGACACCAGCCTGACGGGCTTCACCGAGCTTCGGTCCGAAAATGCTGCCATCACCGTTCCACAACCTTCGCTGGTCACAGAGCAGGATTATTAAAGACCATCTGGAGCGCCGATCACCAAGGCCTCGATGCACTCAATACTATGCAAATGTGCATGTGTGGCAGGTGCCTTGGCAAGGTCACCGACGCTACAGGCCTCTCGTGGCAGAATTTGCGCCCAGGAGGGCACCCTGGATGGCACCTTGTAAGCACTCCATCGCGCTGCAGCAGCCACCGATACCGTCCGCGGCTTGTCCAGCAGCTCCAGGCTCGGGCAGCTTCAGAGCTCCCGTCTAGCAGCCAACAGCTCTGCTCGGGTGGCTGCCCATCACTACCTAGGTAGAGCACTATCGGGGTGGATCGTCTCAAATCACGGTGCGTTCCGTCACTTTTCGATTTTTGGAGCTCAAAGTTCGACCAAAGGCCAGCCAAGGCCGAAGCCAAGTTGTGTATACTCACTTCAGGGCGCTGCAGCGCACGCGGATGGATGTACTCTGGACCGAGACGGTTGTGGACGAGCCGGTACAAAATGGTGCTCGTGTCCACTAAATAACGGAGGCTTTGCTCCAGTTAGTCTGCCTTGGGCTTATCTTAGTGCTATCTTAGTGCTTCTAGCCCCAAAGCAGCAGGTCTCTGGTTGTTTTGGTACTGATTCTTTCAACAGCATCTCGATGCATCCCAGCAGTAGTCGCAGTAATTCTCCCTGCTTTAGATTTATGGCCTCGTGCCTTTGCACATGAAGTAAATAACAAATATCATAGACAAAGAAGAAAAAAGTGAAACAAAAAAAAAAGCAAGCGCAGCGCACAGACAGAAAGGCGCTCAGCCTTCCCCAAAGCTCAAAGGAGACGCATCACAGCCATCGCTCATAACATACAGCTGCCGTCGGGCATCGTCGCGTAGCCGGCTCCCCAAACGATTCAAATTAAGGATAATCTGATTCATGTTCTTCATTTTCTTCCTATCTACACGAGATTCTTCAGCTATATCGTGGTTTTCGGAGCCTCGAAACTCTCTCTCTGGGTGTAGCATCATGTTGTGCTCTGTAGGGCACTCGTAGAGGGGTGGGTGAACCATGAGACCTGACCCCTCCAACTGTTCCTGTTCGTTCGCTTCACATATGCCCTTGCTTCGCTTCGAATGTGCGCAGTGGTATGCTCCCTGAGCCTGATCATTGCCCCAGGGGAATAGTGAATCCAATGTATCGAGGTCCCAATGCGGGTCAAAGTCGGCACTGAGGGTGGTAAATGGATCTGGCATGTCCGAGAGCTCTGAAGGTGAACTCATTAGCGACGTTGTCGGAGACGTCGTAGCGGATAGGACATCAAAATAATCGCCATCATCGTTGTGGGCGGAGTGACTATAGTCTGTGGGAGTAATAAACTCAAAGTCGTGGGCCGGCATATGAACTGCTGAATTACTTGTAGATGTCGTGTTATCTGCTGAAGCGGTAGTCATATCTTCCTGCTGTTCTGAACGGGGTGAGAAAAACCATGGCAGGCGAAAACTGTTGCCCGTATTCCAGGCCGTCTGGGGGAATTCGTGGGCAAATTGGCGATTTACTTCTTCATACAGAGAGAGTCTAGCCAGAGCATCCTGGCTCAGGGCCTTGTTTGGCTGCATGAGCGACACGCGCCGGATATCATATGGTCGTCGGTCAGAGCCGCTATTCTTCATCATGGTGATTTTAGGGATATTTCAAGACGGAACTTGCGCGGGAAACAAAAAGTGATGAAAAAGGCATCCCAGATGCAGCCATGTTTAGTCGAAAACAAGCAATTAGGGGGGGGAGGGCTTTCAGCGTTACCAAGTGTCCACCCCAACACAAGCCACGCAATTCAATGCATCGAAGGGATCGAATTTCTGAAATCGCATCGATCCTGGAAGGCGGGTGACACTGAGCCTGCCCGACGTCATGGCTGCACGCCTTAATGGTCAGCTCCATGGGTGGCTTTGCGTGGTCCGGGGGAAAAGCTCCCGTTGAAGGCAAGGGATCGGCCGCGGGGGCCCAGCGGGTTCGCGCCAGTTGAGTTTCGCCTCCACGTGTGTACACGTATGGAGGTGCACAAAAACGGAATGTGGAAGATGGTAGCCTATTAGTGGCAATGATATTGACTTGTACCTCTCTAACAGCAGCCTAGGATTAGATTCAGCTTATTGGTAAAGATGTTACAAGATTAACAGATAAGGTGCATGGCTAAGCGGGGCAAAGAGCAAGGGCGCTGAGTTTCCACTCTTGCCACTATACCGAACGGAGGTATCCTTTCCTCTTGTCAGTACATCAAAGCAGCTAGGACAATTCATGCACCAGCGACAGAGAAACTGTAAAATAAGGAAAAGAAAAACGTAGAGATGCTAATGTGATTTTGCCACCCAGAGCATGCATAGGTATATTGGAGAAAATAATCTCGACGAGCCTCTGGTAAGACCTACGATTTTCTACTGTTACCAAGTAAACAAACCTGTCATCTGTCAGTCGCAGTATTAATCATATACTTTCAAATCAAACTTGACTAAACCACCGGATGTAATCATTTCTGACAGGCGGCGGCTGAATCCAGTTGGCGATCTTTGCTGCGAAGCCGCTGATGTCTAGTCCAGTAGCACCAATGAGGATATCTGATGCGAAGATCTTTTTGCAACACTTCCGCGGCAACTGTGCATCAATCCTCCCTACGAGCTCTTTCTTCTTTCTTCTATTTTCGTGACAAAATGTATTATTTTTATTTCCTTGCCAATTAAATGGGCTGTGCAGCTAACCAACTTGTCATCTACAATATGTGAGACTACCCTAGATTCGTTGCAATTGATTTCGAAGCCATGTAAGTTAAGCTAAAACATTTTAGATAGCCACAAAAAGAAAAAAAAAGAGAGATACTGGAGATAGCTACAAGTTGCTATTCAGATCCATATAGGTCGCCTGTAAGCAATAATACTATGAAATAAATCTCAAGTAAGACGCAAGATTACGTATTGTTTCTCTCCAGTATATCTATCGTAGTCCTTCCTCCCGTAAAACACCCTCTTACGACTCAACTCCCAATGCCTTCACGCCGACAACCCTGTCCTCTTTATCATCCCGCGAAATAACCCAATATTCCGCTCTCGTCAGATCTCTCGCAACTCTATACACCCTGACATCGTTTCCACGAGTAGCCTCGGCCACAGCATCAATAATGTTTGCGTATTGTCCATCCGAGTCCCAGTCGACAGGGTCCATGATATCGACTTGAGCGTTTTCGGCGTCCCAGTGCTGAATTAGTTTTGCGAATTCAACTGAAAACCATCCCAGTTAGCATTTACTTCTTTCACCCTCTTATGAGGCCTTCCCCCCCGTCTTTCCCATAAAGCCAGAATCCCTGAGACCAGGAAAGGAGTGAAGTATTGAGGCAGCACTCACCTTCATCGGGAAGCCCCCCCTCGCCCTTCCACTTCAGCGACACCCCCTTAAATGGCTCATCCGCCTCGCTCACGTAAAATGCATCCTTCAAAGCATCCGCGATGCTCTTAGGCAGCTTGCTCCCCTCATCCTGGGTCTTAAACGTCCGCTGCTGTCCCGCGCTCTGAGCCGATGATGCTGCTGCCGCTTGCCCTTCCTCTGCGTCCTGGTTCGCCTTGTTGAGGAAGGCCATGTAGTCTTCGTCGCTCGCCATCTTGCGGTGCTGCTGCGTATGTGAAAATGCTCGGCGCTGGGTGCTGGAAAGGGAGATTCGCGGGGTGACTTGGGCGTGTTGCTGCTGCGCACTTGTGTCTATAGGGCTGGCCAACTGTTTGCGCTGAGGTACTTGTGTGTTGATATGGAACCTTCCTCTGAGTGACAGGTTAAGGGCGCCGCCGAGTCTTTTTTGAATGATTGGCATGAGTGGGAGTGGTAGGACGATATGCAGGCGTTAATGATGGTTCGTGCAATCAAAGCTCGAGGTCCAGTCAGCTCGAGGTGGGATGACGTCAACGCGGGCGAATCCGTCCATAGAACTGAAACCACAGCATACCAGATCTTGTCTTTGAACGCTTTCAAGTTAGGCACCACAGGCTAGTAAAACGCTGTAAAATTGCTGTAGGACTTTATATCCTTGGATTATAGCTGCACCAAAAAAAAAAAAAAAGAATAGCCAAGGCAGTATTCTGAAACGACAGCACAGACTTGTTGTTAATTAATGTTTACTGCTGATGTTTATGGTTAATGTTTAATGAAGACTTGTAACCCATACGGCGATTGTCATTATGCACATTTATGCTTGGTCACACATTTTGTATTGGCGCGGCTACTTTGGCATGCATATATATGCGTGGGATTTCCATTATCGTGATAGGGAAATCTCGTTTGAAATTTTTCCAGATTTCTAGCTGAAAAACTTTTTTCTTTTCATGCTCATCTCATTATGGAGCCCAAACCTAGCCCCAGAAAAGCCCAAGGCAAAACCAAATCCGACACCAAATGCAATGATGACCTGACGAATAAACTCAAAAAGGAAACAAATCGATACCTCGCACTTATGCGGAGGGAAGATCCTTCTTGAGAGTACCCTGGAACTGCTTCTTCTCCGCAGGGGTCTGGAAAGCACCGTGACCGAACTCGGAGGAGGTGTCGATCCACTTGAGGCTGATCTTCTCCAGAGCCTTTCTTGAGGTGTGAGTCCACATGGACTTACGGAGAGTCACAACACGCTTCTTGGTACCAGGGATAGAGCCCTTGACCATGACGAAGTCGTTGTTAACCTCACCATAGCGGACGAAGCCACCGAGACTGTAAAAAAGATTGGGTTAGCAATTATAATCAGTCAAAGAGCGTATTAGAAAGAAAAAAAAAAACTTACGGAGTGATCTTCTTCTTGGTGACATCGGCCTCGGTGGAGGCGCTGTCCTCAGCGTCACCCTTGCCGATTCTGTAAACCTTGTGGTTGACAGAGGTACGGTGGTGGTAACCCTCCTGACCAGCACGGGCAACAGTCCACTGGACGTGGGAAGGATGCCAGGCACCGATACAGGCAACCTTTCGGAGACCCTTGTGAGTCTTACGGGGGAGCTTCTTGGTTCCCCAGCGGGCGGTAACACCGCTGAAGCCGTGACCCTTGGTGACAGCGATAACGTCAATGACCTCGTCCTGCTCGAAGATGGAGTCGATGGAAACGGGCTTCTCGAAGAGGTCCTTGCCGAAGTCGACCTTCTCGGCGACAGAGCCACCGTTGATCTGGATCTCCATAAGGTGGGCCTTCTTCTGCTTGAGGGGAGTCTTGCGGATCTGGGTGTGGGCAAGGACACGGACGACAGTGCAGTACTTCTTGATGCGCTCGAGCTCGCGGGTGATGGAAGAGCCGCTGTTGTCGGAGTGCTTCTTGGCGTACTTGGTGAAAGCCTTCTTCTTGCTCTTGTACCAGTTCTTGTAGAATCGTCGCTTGACCTCGTCGGACAAGTGCTCGGCCCACACGGTGGTGAGGGATCGCAGACCACGGGGAGTCTCGATGTAGCCCACAAGACCAACAACGATCATCTAAAAGATGTTAGCCATAGGCACATAGCCAAGCGGGCTGCATTGTTCGTACAGGGGGGGTATCAATGATCGAAACAGCCTCCACAACTTCCTTCTTGTTTGCCTTCGCGCCGGGTCGGTCGAGGTCACGAACGATCGTGGTCATACCGGCCTTGTAGCCCATGGTGGCAGTCAGGTGGACGGGCTTCTTGGCGTCATCCTTGGGGAAGCTGGTATTTCCAATTGATTAGCATTGTTCTTTCTTCACTTCCTTTGTGGCTTTTTCCACCTCTTCAACACCTGAATTGAGGTTATCGAAAAATTTTCTGCGAGACTTACGACTTGACCTTTCCGCGGTGGCGGGCAGCGCGCTTCCGTGGCAGGTAAGCCAGGGAGCCGTGACGGGGAGCCTCGTACTTGCGGTGCTATTCTGATGTTAACATCTTCAAGAGAGGCTGGGAGTTCGATCGATATGGCTACATACACTCATTTTGGGCGCTGGTGTGGTGATGAGTTGGTATGAAAAAACGACAAAGCTGCACAGAACAGAAAAGTGAAAGAGGGCTTTCAAAGAAATAATTTGTGGGCGAAATTTTAAGCGAGACCTGATGAGCGGTTCAAAATTGTGGCCCGTGCACCGCTACACTAAGCTTCTTATGGAAGACAGGAGCATCTATCCAATCAAGTTGAGAAGCCATTGAAAAAGACGAACTTGATCACGTGATTCAAATTTATTCAACCCGTTTAAGCATTGGTGGTCTATGGTGGTCTAAGGTAAGGTAGTTTGAAGAGTTGATACAGCTTTCTAGAGATACATAGAATATGTGCAATGTACGACATACAGACAAGTTTTTTTTTTGAGAAAAACATTACACTTATAGTACGGAAAACGCTCCCCGGCGGCATTTTGTTTTTAACCAAAAACCGATAATCCGTCCCCATTGCCGTCCGCCAAACCTTCCCTCAACAGAAAACATATGAAACTTAAAAGTAGTAGTACTAATATTGGGGAGGGAAGAGTGATATATAATAAGAAAAGAAGACGACAAAAATGCACGGTAAAAAAGAAATCGCCTCGTGAAAGACTTGACTCATAAATTCCATCCCTCCTTGGCTCGTACTTAAAATGTTCTTATTCAGTTTTGGGTGCAGGGCCAGAAGCAGCATTTGCGTTGCTTGTGGAGGATGGCGGGGCCTTCAGATCTCCAGA